CAGTAGCCCTGCCTCCTTTTTCCTTTCATGCTTGTCTTTCTGACAGACCAAGCAAGTCTTGACATATAACTCTATGTCATCCTCCATCTTGGGCCAGTAATATGATCTGGATATTAACGCCAGCATTCTATCCACCCCTGGATGTCCAGCCCACTGAGGATCATGCATTTCCCGCATTAGTTCCCGTCTCAAACCTCCAACAGGAACATATAATCTACCTCCTCTGGCATAGAGTAGATTATCTTCAATCCAGTACTTTCTGACTTCACCATCAGTAACCTGTTGCTTTAGTTTCTGATAGGCATTGTCGGACTGAGATTGCTCTTTGATTCTGTCAAGGAAATCAGTATACACCGTTGTCAACGACGCCACATACTCCTGCACTTCTTTCCTACTCAAGGCATCAGCAACCTGATTCTGCTTTCCAGGTCTGTGAACCCACACAAAATTGAACTCCCCAAGAAACTCTTGCCAACGAGCTTGCTTTGGAGTAAGCTTTTTCTGTGTCTTGAAGTAGGTATTGGCCACATTATCAGTCACCACTGTAAACTTAGTACCCAACAGATAGTGCTTCCATGCGTCAAGACAATGTATCACTGCAGTCATCTCCTTCTCGTGAGTTGTATACCTCTGTTCAGCATCCTTAAGCTTCCTGCTTTCAAAGGCACATGGGTGTCCTTCTTGGACTAGAACCCCACCAATTGCTCTATCAGAGGCATCAGTATGCACTTCAAATGGCAAACCAAAGTCAGGCAGTCTCAAGACCGGTTCTGTAGACACTGCCTGCTTAAGCATCTCAAAAGCATTCTGGCACTCCTCAGACCAAACCCACTGTTTGTCTTTCTTCAGTAAGTCCGTTAAAGGACTAACCTTCTTGGAATACCCCTTTATAAACTTTCTGTAGTAATTTGCCAACCCTAGAAAAGATCTCAACTCTGTCACTTTGGTAGGTGCAGACCAATCAAGGATGGCTTTCACCTTTCTCTCATCCATTCTGACATGGCCCTTACTGATCCAATGCCCCAAAAACATCACTTCTTGGCGACAAAACTCACACTTCTCCTTTTTGACAAATAACTGAAACTCCTTCAGTTTTGAGAAAACCAATCTCAAGTGTTTTAAGTGATCTTTCAATGACTCACTATAGACTACAATGTCATCCAAATAAACAACAACAAAGCGATCGATGTAGTCATAAAACACATTATTCATTAAGTTGCAGAAGGTTGCCGGGGCATTAGTTAGCCCAAACGGCATTACAAGAAATTCATAAGACCCATAACGAGTTACACATGCAGTTTTGGGTTCATCTCCTTCTGCTATACGCACCTGCCAGTAGCCTGCACGTAAATCCAGCTTAGTAAAATAGGATGCCCTTGACAACCTGTCAAATAAGTCTGCGGCATTGGGCACTGGGTACTTGTTCTTCACAGTCACCTTATTCAGAGCCCTATAATCCACACACATCCGCATTGAGCCATCCTGCTTCTTCTGGAACAACACTGGCGCGCCATACGGTGCCTTGGATGGTTGAATATAGCCAGACTCCAGCAACTCATCCAACTGTCTACGCAGTTCAGCCAGTTCTGAAGGCGCCATCCGATATGGGGCCTGAGCAGGAGCCCTTGCACCCGGCTCCAACTCTATCTTATGATCAACAGCACGTCGAGGGGGCAATTGCTTGGGTAGTTCTGGTGGCATCACTTCTGCAAATTCCTCTAGAATTTCAGCAACAGAATCCGGAACTTCAACAAGCTGGTCCGGTTTGATCTCTATCATAGCTGCAAGAAAGGTAGAGTCTCCTTTCTTCAAACCTGTTTTCACTTGCAATGCAGAGATTATTTCGATGCAACCATATTTACGATCTTCCTTCTTTTGGTGCCCATAAAGAGCCACTGATGGAATAAAACATGGACAACTCCTGTCCCAAATAAAAACTCCTCCCAAATATGGTACAACTACCACTCTGGCTTTCGTAAGGAACTCAATTCCAAGAATTAGATCAAAATCATCTAAGGGAACAGCCATAAGACTAACTACGCCCTCCCAACAACCAACTTTCATAGAAGTGGTGGCCATGCCTAAAACAGGCTTGGCTTCAGAATTCACAGCTTTCATCTTATTAGCATGTGGAATTAACTTTAAATTAAAGTTACTTACTTCCCTCTGCGCAATGAAGTTATGAGTGGCCCCCGTGTCCACCATTGCCAAAACTTCCTTGCCGTTCAGTGTCACCTGAATGAACATGAGCCCTTTCAACTCCATGGACTGTTCTTCGGTAAGAGCATTCAGCATTTGCAGAGGATTAACTCGGGTTGGACCAGATTCCGAGTCTGAGTCTCCTTTTGCTTCAGCGACAATAGCACTCAGCTTCTCCCTCTTGGGACAGTCCCTAACACGATGGGGACCATTGCAGATGAAACAACCGTAGTTGGGCTTAGTCCCACTACTACTCCCTTTGTTGTTGTAATCTGCCTTGGCCTTGACAAAGCCACCCCCTTTATCCTTCTTTTGATTCTTGTCCTTCTTTTTGTCCTTGAACCTGAAGGACTGGCCTTTGTCTTTCTTCCCCTCCTTGGACTTCTTCTTGTCTTGTGTAGTAGACCCAGTCATTTTGAAATCTACAAGACAATCTGCCGCTGTCATGGCAGTAGGAAGGTCCCTCACACCTTGCCTACGGAGTTCTGCCTGAGCCCATGGTTGCAATCCGGACATGAAATTGAACAGCTTGTCCTCCTCTGACATATTTCGAATGTCCAGCATCAAGGAACTAAAGTCCTTCACATAGTCACGAACGGTACCTGTGTGCTTCAATTTCTTCAAAGATTCCCTTGCAATCCATGCAGTGTTCTGAGGCAAGAACTGGTCCTTCAATTCCTTCTTGAGGGTCTCCCAAACTTCAATCCGAGGCCTACCCGCAGAAGCATCGTCCTCTGTCCGTGTGCGCCACCATAGCTTTGCATCACCAGACAGATACATGCTTGTAATGGTCACCTTCTCGCCATCAGGGATCCGAGCAGCCTTAAAGTACTGCTCCATGTCCCATAGGAAATTCTCCAACTCTTTGGCATTTCGGGTACCACTGAAAGACTTGGGATCCGGCACCTTGATCTTCTGCGAAAGAGGATCACCACCGCCTCTGGAACTCCCATGAATGGCCCTCTTCACCAAGGACACTTCATCTTCAAGGTCTTTCAGGTTCTTCTTGAAGACGTCAGTCAGTGACTCAACATCTTCAGAGATACGGGACAATTGCTCTTTGGTGGCCTGCATGAAGTCACCAAACCCATCAGGATTAGTCTTCAAGATCTCCAATTCAGAAGCCAAGTTTTCAATTCGAACAACAAGGCTCTCTGCACCATCTTGTACCTCTGTTTCTGTAGGAAAACCCACGAACTCTTCCAAATGGGAAACTCTTTCACGAGTATTACCTCCAGCCATCGTAGAACGGGGCTCTGATACCAATTGTCACAGGGCTAAATTACACCACGAATTTTTGCCTCTGCAATGGCACTTGGGGCCACCAAGTCTCAGCCAACACAACAACACAATACACACAATATAGAAATATAAAGGAGGCACACACAGTTTACAGGGACAAGCCCCAACCTTTGCTCATATTAAACATATTACAAAGGAACATGAGTTCGTACAAGGAACAACCAAGGCTCACACCCTCTTCTCTGTCCCCTCTACAAAGCCCACCTTAGCATTATATAGGCCACTCTCAAAACCGCCCATAACTGCCCACTAAGATGATGGATGACACCCCCATCCACCTAGGGTCGTGCTGGCACCCTCTAAATGAGCCAGCACTATAATGCAGTTGACAAGCCCAACTGCTAGACTTGTTGGCATGTTCTGCTCATGCCACATAACCACAAGAAGTTAGATTCTGCATGGTGGAGGAAACCACCCTTAACCGCCTGTGTGTTGGTCCTCTCAGAATTGTGCCACATGTTTGGGAGGTTACTCAGCACTCCCCCACTTCCCATGATGAGTGGGAAGTGCTAGTAACTTCCCCCAACCAACCGAGCCCACTAAGCCACCACCTCTTGTAACCGCAAGCCATGACTTTGTGTTATCCATGCTCTAGCCACATCTGAGTCAACCTTGTGAACCTAGCCCAAGTCCACCAATCTGCACCCACATATATATGTCTCTGAGTGCACGGCGTGCCAAGCCATGCACGCCCGTGCGCACGCTCGGGTGCACACCAAAGTGCACGCCGGCGCACACACTAGTGCCCTTCTTTGCGCGCCATGTTTGTACCCTCATGCGCCCGTGGCTGCACACCCACCTGGACGCCCATGTGCACGCCGAGCTAGACGCTCGCGCACACTAGGTTGGACGCCTACCCGCGCGCCAACCTGCACGCCCGCACGCACGCCGCTGCACTCCAGCGCGCGTGTCGGTGCACACTTATTTGCCCTTCAATATCTTGGATGCTCCCCACTTGTGCAACCATCTTGGAGTGGTGCAACACGTGCTCATGCACGTTGGCTAAGCCCTCTAAGCAAGCCATGCCATAGCCCAACCGATGCGCTCAACAGACCCCCCCCTAATATAGTCTTAAGGAAATCCAGCACTCTGACAGGAGTAAACATCACCCATGCTTGAGGAGTCATAATGGCCTTTCAGACCTTTCCCGACATCCAAATTAAGTGCCGTCTGCGCCAACCAGCTTCTATGGACTCAAGGTATCTCCCATAAAGATCCCGAGTCAAAACTCCAAGTTTCACTTTTCGCCATATTTACGAAAGTGCCACTGGGCACCCCCAGTGCACGCCGAGCATCCTTTTAAGCATCTTGTGTGCACGCTGAGCATCTTGTGCACGCTGACAACCCACTGAGCACCCTCATGGCTGTCTAATCAAAGCCAACGTATTCCTAAGACATGGCATGGCCTTGAAATGCCCATGTCTTCCCTTGGACAACCGTCAAGGGGCTAACAGCTTGAGAGTTCAGAGTTGTGAGAGTTGAGAGTTGAGAGTTGAGACACCACCACTGAAGAGTAAAGAGCCCTGACTGCGCCACCGAAATCAGATCAAACTCGGATTACTGACGTGTACGGTCCAGATTCAATCCCTTTGTAAACTAGATTTCAGTCTCCGTGTTTATAATCTCTCTCCTGCCTTTAACTTTTTTCATTGCTTCGGTTTCGTTCTCTCTCCTTTTTTTCCGCCACCTCCGTTGACATAATTTTTTTTCTGGTGTTAAACTCCAATCTCAAGCCGTTCGTTCAATTATCTCCGATAACATCATCAAAGGTCACAATCTGAAACTCTAATCGGTCAGATCAGAGATCACGATCCGATTCTACAGAATATTCAAATCTCAGATCTAGGGCAAAAAATCATAGAAACCCTAAATTCAAATATATATATCGATATATTTTTACTTTTGTTTACAAGATCCATATATAAATATTCTTTACTCGTATATATACATCACTCTCAAGATTGTATTTTACATATGTTCGTAGCCGATTTGAATAAATTTGTATTTAACAATCGAGAAAAAAAACCCTAGGTTGGATGGGCAAAGACGAATGTAAATCTGTGGTAGACGTAGAGGAAGGCGAAATATCTGATTCGGCTTCTGTTGAAGAGATCAGCGAGGAGGATTTTATTAAGCAGGAGGCTAAGGTTACGAACACTACAAATTCGAATTCGAACTCGAACTCGAACTCGAACTCGAAGCCTATGGTTTGGACGATGGGGGATCTGTATAAGTATTCGAATAAGTATTCGAATTCGCGCAATTATGTGTCTGGTTTGTACAATCTTGCGTGGGCGCAAGCCGTGCAGAATAAGCCTCTGAATGAGGTTTTAGTGATGGAGTTCAAACCCAGTGAGAACTCGAACTTGAGACGGTCGTCGTCGTCGACTTCAATGAACGGTAGAGAAGACAGTAAGAATAATAGCAGCAGTAGTTCAGTTTCATCGTCGAAGGAAGTCGATAATAAGGTTATAATTGATGTGAGTGGTGATGACACTGATGATGCTAAGATGGAGGATGTAGGAGATGAGAAGGAGGAAGGAGAATTGGAGGAGGGTGAGATCGATTTGGATTCAGAAATTGAAGACAGGGTTGAAGAAGGTAAATTGATTCCCAAAGATCCGAATGTTAATAAAGCAGATGCTGATTTGAAAGACGAATGGGAGAATGAGGTTAATTCCATTCGTGAAGAACTCAAGACCTTGACTCTGAATGATGCAGAGAAGTAAGTTAATTGTTTTTGGATGAATTTTGAAGTGCCATATGATTGCTGAAGACTGAAAATTTTGAATGCTTTTGTTAAATTGTTGATAAAATGAACTAGTTGTTGATTTCGATTTGTTGTAGATCATATGATGCAGTCTGTTCCCAACTGCAAAACTCATTGGACCGCATGAGGGAAGTATTTTTGCAAAATTCTGTTCCCACAAAGGATGATATCGTTCAGCTGTCATTTGCTGCCATTCAGACTCTTAATTCAGTAAGATACACAAATAATTTTTCAGCTTATGAAATTTCCCAATTCATAGATTATAGTTTATGACATTTCCCAATTTATAGATTATAGATTTTTGCTGAGAGTTCACATTGTTGGTGCAATGGAATTATTATAGGGGCTGAAACTTAATTCCTTGCAGGTTTTCCGTTCCATGAATCAAAATCAAAAGGAGCAGAATAGGGAAATTTTATCAAGGTTTTGTTGTGGTTATTCATTGAATTTATGGTTTTCTTATCTCTGTATCCCCTGGATAGGTTTGTCATCCGCTGATTTCTGAATTTTGTTACAGTTTGCTTGGACAAGTAACATGTGAAAATACTCCTTTTTTTTCTCCTGCGCAATTGAAAGAGGTATGATTTTTGTACAGCTTAGTGGTTTAACGAGAATGTGTTGTAGTTCTGGAAACTTAACATGTTATCTGTTCTAACAGATAGAGGTCATGATACCAGCACTTGGTTCTCCTGCTGTTGTGTCTAGTACTGCAGACAATGATGTGGAGAAAAAGATGCAGGTCATTGAGAAAGTGAATCAAAATGTTTCTGTTGCTTCAGGTGAAAATGCTGGTCATGATTTGACTTCTTCAAAGAAGTTTGTGTTAGACTCCAGGTCCATTGAATCCTTGTATCCAAATGATCCCAGCATATTTCCAGAACCTTTAAAATTAGGACCAGGTAGTTCTAAAGGTAGAGGGGTATTGCTTCCCCTATTAGACCTTCACAAGGATCATGATGCAGACAGTCTTCCGTCACCTACACGGGAAACCCCACCACGTCTGCTTGTAAACAGAGTATCAGCTGTTGGAGATACAGTGTTTAAACCAGATTTGTTACAACCTAGGGCAGCTCTTGATACGGAAAATACTGTAATGCATCCTTATGAAACAGATGCCCTTAAAGCTGTTTCCACCTATCAACAAAAATTTGGTCGAAGTTCATTTATTTTGAAGGACAGACTTCCTAGCCCAACCCCTTCAGAAGAATGTGATGATGATAGAGATGGGGGCTCTAGTGGGGAGGTTTCAAGCTCTTCCATTGTTGGTGATGCAAACTCTGTATATGCACCCAATTTAGCACGACCCAGTGTTTCTTCTACTCATAACATGGATATATCCAGTGTACAAGGACTGAGTAGTGCTGGGAATGCTGGCATTCCAAGTTCTGGGTCTAACCCTGTATTAAGAGCTCTGGCAAGGAGTAGAGATCCCAGGCTCCGGTATGCAAAATCTAGTGCAGGTACTTTGGATCTCAACCAATTTCCCTTACCTGGGATGAACACTGAACCTAAAATGGATCCCCTTGGGGGAATAATAATCTCAAAGAAGCAGAAAATTGTTGAGGAGCCTGTTTTGGATGGTCCTGCACTGAAGAGGCAAAGGAATGGGTTGACGGATTCTGGGCTGGCTATGGATGTGCCTACAGCATCCGGAAGTGGTGGTTGGTTGGAGGATAGAGGCACGGTTCGACCTCAGTTTATAAACAGAAACCAGGCAGTAGAGAAAATGGGAAGTGTTACCAGGAGCTTGGGAAATGAAGTAACTTGCTCTGATGCCACCAGTAGTACACCCAATATAACAATTGGTGGGAACGAGCAATTACCAGTAACAGTTACCAACACCACAGCTTCCTTGCATTCTATATTGAAAGACATTGCAGTGAATCCAGCCATGTTGATGAATATAATTAAGATGGAACAACAGAAGTCTGTTGATCCTGCAAAAAGTATAACACAATCATTAAGCTTGAACTCAATATTGGGAGCAGTTCCATTGATGAATGTTGCTCCCCCAAAGTCCTCAGAGCTTGGGCAGAGATCTGCAGGAATACTTCAGACTCCTCAAACAGCTTCAACTGTGAGTATCTAATCGTAGTTCTTTCTGGGACTACAGAATTTATTTTGGGAAGTAGATCTTCTCAAATTAAATTTCTGTTAGTGGCATTTTTTTGGCACTTTGCGGGACAGTACTTTTCTTTTTGTGGTTTCTCAATGAGTATAGGTTGCCTTCCAAATGCGGTGTTTGATAATTTATAGTGGAGGTTTTCAAGTCTTGAGCCCTGGATATACAATATAGAATTTCAGTTAATAATCCTATCAGGGCCAACTTGCCTTTATATCTTGACTTGGATTTATTGAAATTTGTTTTGTTGATTGTTTTTGAAACCAGCTTACATTGTCATTTGACATATATTTAAATATGGTGCCTAAGAAAGACTTTCTAAAATATTACTGATATTGTTCAGATTAATTAACGCATAGTTATCCACCTTAAACAGAATTAAATGGAATGAGACAGTTATTTTTTGCTTGCAATAAGTAATGTTAATAACAGAATGAAATTCAAATTTTATTAGTCTATAGGGTCTGCACCTTTTCTGTTGCCAGTTCATTTTCTTTTCGTATGATTTGAACTTTGAGAATGTTTAATGATTACAGAACATGCAAGAGGAATTGGGAAAAGTTCGCATGAAGCCCCGTGACCCTCGCCGTGTACTCCATAATAATACGTTTCATAAGCCTGGGAGCTTAGGATCTGATCAGTGTAAAACAAATGTTGCTCCTATAGCAAGTTCTCAGGGAATGAAGGGCAATTTGTATCCCCAAAAGCAAGAGGATCAGTCAGACAAAAACTCCGTGCCTTCCCAGTCAATCACTCCACCGGATATTACACAGCAGTTCACTAAGAATCTGAAAAACATTGCTGATATTATTTCTGTATCCTTAGAACCTATGAGTCCAGCAATTTCTCCAAATTTTCCTTCACAGCCTGCACAAGTTCCTTTGAGTAAAGTAGATGTAAAAGGTGTAGTTTCAGATTCGGGTAACTTGCAGACGACTGGTTCTTCAACTGAGGAAGTTGCTGTAGATCCCTCTGGACCAAAAAACACTTGGGGAGATGTTGAGCACCTATTTGAAGGATTTGATGACCAGCAAAAAGCTGCTATCCAGAAAGAGAGAGGAAGGAGAATTGCAGAGCAGAAGAAAATGTTTGCTGCCCGTAAGCTCTGCCTTGTCTTGGACCTAGATCACACTCTTCTTAATTCAGCAAAGGTATTATAACAGTTTCTTGTCCTATAAAGTAAATTTTTGTTCCTAATCCTTGGAAAATAATGTTTACACTATGCATGCTTGTAGTTTGTCGAAGTAGATTCTGTTCATGATGAGATCTTGAGAAAGAAAGAGGAGCAGGATCGTGAAAAGCCACAGAGGCAACTTTTTCGGTTTCTTCATATGGGAATGTGGACCAAATTGAGGCCTGGGATATGGAATTTCTTGGAGAAGGTAATTGTAAATTCTTGAAGTTCTCTTGGGCGAAATGTAATTGGTACTAGAGTGTATTATAAAGCTTGCACTGCATTCACCTGTTTGCATTTTAGGCTAGCAAGCTATTCGAGCTGCATCTGTACACAATGGGGAACAAGTTGTATGCTACAGAGATGGCAAAATTGCTTGATCCTAAAGGTGTTCTGTTTGCTGGGCGAGTTATCTCCAGGGGTGATGACGGGGATCCGATTGATGGTGACGAGAGGGTTCCGAAGAGTAAGGATTTGGAAGGGGTTTTGGGTATGGAATCTTCTGTGGTCATTATAGATGATTCAATTAAAGTCTGGCCACATAACAAACTGAACTTGATAGTTGTAGAAAGGTAAGTACGCATTTGATCTCAAATGTATGAAATTTCTAACATATTGTTTATAAGAGTTTGTTTTGGATCATCATCATTCAGTCATTATTTCTTATCCCCAACTACTTGTTTTTCAGGTATATTTATTTTCCTTGCAGTAGACGCCAATTTGGGCTTCCTGGTCCTTCTCTCCTTGAGATTGATCATGACGAAAGATCAGAAGATGGGACTTTGGCATCTTCTTTGGCGGTGAGTTATGATATAGCTTGCCATTGATTTGGCAAATAATTGATTGTTCACTTCCTGATGTTTTTATGGTGCCTTACCAATAGGTCATTGAAAGAATACATCAGAACTTTTTTTCACATCGGTCCTTGGATGAAGCTGATGTCAGAAACATCCTTGCCTCAGAGCAACGGAAAATTTTAGGTGGTTGTCGTATCGTCTTCAGTAGGGTGTTTCCGGTTGGCGAAGCCAATCCTCACTTACATCCACTGTGGCAGACAGCCGAACAGTTTGGTGCTGTATGCGTCAACCAGATTGATGAACAAGTCACCCATGTAGTTGCCAATTCTCTTGGGACTGACAAGGTATTGTTACCAATTTCTTCTTTTGCCTTCTGAATATATATCTTTGTAAGTAGTACACACACACACATATTTATTTTGACTGGGGCAAGAAGGATCTGTTTTGATTTTCTTAAAATATAAATTTTGGGGACATGCAAGCTGCATTCAGTGGTATGGTACACGAAGGGGAAACTGACGCCATATATTTTGTAGGACCCAGATCTTCTCCGGTGTACATTTGGGTTTAGTATCGTCTAGTGCAATTAAATGGATTAAATCGAAGATGCAACATAACTGGTGTTGCAGTGTTGCATCTTGATATAATATGTTGCATCATTGAACTAAATTTGGATGTTGCATCATTGAAATAAATGTGTTTGCATGGGTGTTGTGTCCCCAATGTATGGTCCAGTGCACCGTAGAGGATCTGATCCATATTTTACTCGGGTTACAATGCATCCGGTCCGTAGCAAAGTGGTGGTGTTTGTGACGCGAGAGATGTGTCCTTGTGATCTTGTAGATAGAAAAGGTCACCTGGTTTATAATGTGACAAAGCGTAGATGCCTATATGTGTCCTTGTGATCTTCGTATATTGAGGCCTGATATTGGTTGTTTCAAACAGGTGAACTGGGCTCTTTCTACAGGAAGATTTGTTGTCCATCCTGGCTGGTAAGAAGTGCCTCTCTATTTCATTTGTTTCAAATGTGTTTTTGCGATTTGATTTGACACGGTGTCTACTATTTTCTCATCACAAAAAACCTATACACAGGGTGGAAGCGTCAGCTTTGCTTTACAGGAGAGCGAATGAGCTTGATTTTGCTATTAAACCATAAACAAATCACCATTCCTTTCCACCTGGTAAACTACGAGTTCATGACCACCACCTGTAAGAGCCTAGAATCAAGTCTCAAAATGAAGTTGGTGAAGGGACAATCAGGTCATGTTTTGCTAGACCTGTGATTGTCGCTTAATTCTGATTCGATTTGATTCGATTCGATTCTCATTGGCCACCCATAAAAGCTGGTTGAACGACTGTATTACCCAACCCCGTTGGCCGTTGAAGATAAATTCCGGATTACGTGTTCCTATCCAGCTCATAAGATAATCTGAGCCCTGAAAATCCAAATAATTTATCTCTCCATGCCTTAGTAAGGCTTACTATGGGATAAAAAATTTGGGTGGTGACTTGCCCTGGCAGGACTCGGGCAGTTTTGTGCAAGCCAGCCTTCCCTTTGCAGCAAAGTTTTGTGAAATTTCTTGAACTAAATTATCCATCGAGCAGCTTCCGTAGTTTTGGGTTGGGGTGGGTTAACAATGATCAAACATAAAAATGTATCATTGGGAAAATTCTCAATCGTATTAAATGGAAGATTAAATAAATATATACTAAACATTGTTGGATGGAAAGGGAAGTAAAATTAAATAATGAATTAGTTGAAGTTTTCGCATTTTTAATACAAAATTGATTTTTGGAGAAGATGATTTATTGCTGCTCAACCGGATTTTATTTGTTCATTTTCGCAAGTTACAAACTAGACGGGTTCAGAAGTATTCAGTAAAATGACATGAAAATAAAATAAATAAAAAATGGAGACGTGAAATTGGTGACAAACTCTGCCGAATTGAAAAAGGCGTTTCTACAAGTGGAAACTTTAGACCATTACGTATACGTCGCTTTCAATACGGAAGGCGAATGGTAGGCCTTTCTTGTTTGTTTACGTAATCTGCCGGAGATAACGGATGTTTGGTTTTTGGCTATTAATGCTATTCTTTGGGAAAAGGTTTTAATTCGGTTGTTTAAAACTTTTGAGCGAAATAAACTAGATGATTATTAGTTTCATTGTATCTTAATGAACGGGATTAGTTTTTATAAATTAGAATAGTAAATGATTTGCGCAGTATAATAATTCGTTTTTCTTTTAATAATGTGACTAAAGACGATTTTAACTGTTTTATACTAGTGATTTGTGATTCAAAAAATAAATATAGGTATATAATGCAATACACTCATGATTAATGCATCTTACTTCACTTTTAAAATTTTAAAAATGAACAAACAAAGGTAAAAGTAGAAATTGGTTTTTAATTTGAGCATTTGAGTTTGTTTTTCGAATTAAAGGTTATTAAAAAAAAAAAAAATCTGATTTTAAACATGAACTGAGTATACAGTTGATTATGTAATGTCATGATCTTTTCATTTTCATTTATTCATCTAACTATAATTCTCCAAGTTCTTTAAATGGCATCTCAAAAATAAATAATCCCATTTTAAAACCAATTTTCTATTTTAACAATTCTATTAAAGATTCATACATTATTTCCCTAATGTCCATTAGTTGACCGTTAATAGCGTCAGAATAATTTTTTACAATGCCAAAATTGCCCTTTAAATGGTTGAAGTTACATTTTTACAATTAATTGATATGTGTCTCCAATTATATGACCAAAATACCCCCAAGAGAGAAAATGAACTTTATGTTATAAGTTTGAGAGTTTCAGTCATAAAATTGTGATTAGTTTTGTCATACCACATTAATTAAGGGTAAACATATAATTTCATCCATTTAAAGGGTAATTTTGGCATTGCAAAAATTTATTCTGATGGAATTAACAGAAAATTCTATAATACCCCCATACCTCTAAGATTCCAACTAGGGGTGGGCAAATAATTCGTAAATCCGATTCGTGCTATTGAATCCATAGATCAGGGGTTGATCCGATCCACGAGATTTATATATACCGAAGAAAGTTTCCATAAGCATGCGGGTTTTCAATTCTTCTTTCATTCCCGCTCTAAAACCATTTAATCATCCCCATAAACCATTATACTAACTCTCACCCTATTCAAACACAATATTGTCCTCTTTTGGCTCACCCGGACCAGAGACTTCTCAAGGGTCACATATCCTAGTACTACTCCAGGTTAAGCACGCTTAACTCTGGAGTTATGGTGAGTTCACAGTCATTACGACTTTAAAATGCGTTGTGTCATAAAAGGGTGTTAAATCTACATATAGTACTTATCCCTTCCATATTCAGATAATGTGGGATTGTGCACTTGTAGCTTGCCCAGTGTAGTAGCTTACTGGTGCCAATTGCACATGCTCACACACACCCGCCCCTTTGGGGCCCAACGTCCTCGTTGGCCACACTTCCCGCTGAGTTAGACTCTGATACCATTTGTAACAATGCTCACCCTATCCAGACACAATAGTCCGCTTTTGGCTCACCCGGACCAGAGACTTCCCGTGGATCACCCATCCTGGTACTACTCCAGGTTAAGCACCATTACGGCTTTAAAACGCGTTGTGTCATAGAAGGGTATTGAATCTACATATAACACTTGCCTCTTTCACACCCAGGCGATGTGAGATTATACACCTGTAGCTAGCCCAATATGATAACCTACTGGTGCCAATTGCACACGCTCACACACACCCGCTCACAAAGTGGCCACAATCGTTCTAAACGTGCAGTGCAAAATATTTTGCCATTCCTAATTGTCGCACCAAGTGAGTTTTCTAAATTTACGCAACAAGAAGCTAACAAACACAAGCTTCTTTGCAATCCATTTCGATTGTTGCTCGGACTAATCGCAACTATAAATTCATAGTTTCAAACTAGCTTAGCTCTTTACAGTGACTCGGAGTTTATGAGTTCGAAATCGAAAAGATTAGCACTACCTGTGGAGAGGTAAGTTGCTCTTCAAAGTGATCTGAAGCTCACAATTCAAAAGCGAAAAAATTAACACTAAAAACTGTGTACATCTGACTCTCCCCAAGCGTATTGTAGTGAGCTAGGTCTTTTAGACCAGGCCCAACTCAACTCAACAACCTCCTTTCTCAATTTATGACCATTTGGAGAGGGTTTATCCACACCACACCACACCACACCACACCACAATTCGCATATAGCGACAATGAGGTGCAAGGACACTACCATTGCACTACTTTGTAATTCAGGAGTAGCGACAGCTCAATGCTTAATGCTCAAATGGTCGAACGATTTTTCTTGGTCAGCCAAACCCATCTTCACCGGAACCAATCTCACCCAATAATGCTTCTCTCTGGTCCCCCTTCCTCGTAATAATTAACACTCCTCTCTCACTCTATACATACACGCACAGGCACACACACACACACACACACACTCATACAAATTCAATGGTGTTAATTTCTAATAATATGCAGTGGGAAGAGCTCTCTGCTATTTCAATTCGCATTTAACTCGGCGGCATTAGAGAGCAACGGTGTGGTTTTGTTCCTCTGCAACCGTCGCAAATTAGAAAGCAATCCCCCTTATCTCTCTCAGGTAACCTATCATCCACTCTCTACATTTTCCTTCCTTATACACACACACACACACACTATATATATATATATATATATATATATATATATTCTTGTATATAAATTTTCTTCTATAGTGCAAGTTTCCCTTGTCATTACCGTATTGTATTGATTTACAGGGTATTGATCCATCTTCTGACATATTTCAGCGTATACAGATGAAGTAAGAAACACCCTCTTTGTCATTACCATAATTATCATTAATTGTTGTTTTTTTCCGATTAGTTATTTAATTTTTACTACTGTTCTTATTATAATTAAGCTGCTGATGAAATAATGATTTATCTTTGAAGATATGTGGATGATGATGAAGGGATCAAGAAGTACTTTGCTGCATTCCACCTGCATGATAAATTTCCTGTTACAGTAATTATTGATGATTTTGGAGATTTCTTTGAAGATAGGTAACCCGATTTTTGCTCAAGACTTCCATGGTCACTCCTGTTTATGAATGTGTCCATACTTGACCCTTTTTGCATATTCACTCACCATTTAATTAGCACCATCTATCGATTATCCTCAAAAAATGGTCACCAAATTTGGAATTTCTATTTCATATTGAGCAGTGTTGTTCGACCGAGGCTATGATGACCTTAATAAATAAAGCAGAATGGAAACCATAGGTTTCATGAGCTGACCCCAAGTAGTTGGGAAAAGGCTTGTTGTTGTTGTTATATTGAGCAGTGTTGTGATGAGGTGCCCTTAGTGAGCTCGCACCCTCATAACAGCATTTTCCTCTACTATTTTCTTCTCAATTTTTTTTTCAATTTCTTGAAGGAACTGCCAAGAGAAATATAATAGTCCACGCGGGAGGGACATAGCAATGGTCCGAATTCTTGCTCTATGTCACAATGCGATAATTCATGCAAAGTAAGCAACCATTACTGGAAGAATGCTCAAGTGCTATTAAATTACAAATACTAATATTTCTTACTTTAATTTGGTTATTTGTCTATAATAGCGACGCGGGACCATGCAAGCTTCTTCTGTCTGATACACACCACGCAGACTCCCCAAGGTTGCTCTTCATTTATAAGAGATGGATCTCATCCATTTTCACCATTAAAGGTCGGTTATATTACAAAAGATTAATATATCAGTATCAATGTCTGTTATTTTTTGCTTGTTATCATGTGTTCATATGTGCATGCAGAATTATGACATCACTTGCATTTTAGTTTTAAATTTCTTTTGGTCTTCTGAACATAAAACATTGAGGGTTTTTGCTGCAGGTGATGGTTCTGGATCATTTCTTATGAAAAATAGCTTCCGTTTGGGAAATGCCGGCTTGGAGAGGATGAGAACTGCAAAGTACTCCATAGCGCTTCAGTATCTGGTTTTGGAAGGTATTACTGAAGACACAGAGTAGTTATATTGTTGGTGGATTACATATATAGTGAAGGCCCTTTTCTCTCTTTTTAAGTTCAGAATGGTATATAAATCCTTCTATATATTGTTATGTTACTAGTCTTCACTCATTCCCCCTAAATATCTTATTTTCAGTTGCAACGTATATCTTATATTCTCGAATAAATTATTTCATGGAATCATTTCTCTTAATTTCAACCTCCTAAACTGCCCTCATTCTTCTTGCTTGTTATATTAGCATGTTTTTACACCCGTTGTTCGCACCATTCAGCCATTCAAGGTCTTGTTACTGTTGAATGTTTTGATTTATAAACTGGTTCGTGTGGTTTTCAGGTTTTATGCCTATTTTTGGATATGCAATAATTGAAAATTTTAAGGTGCATCACTTGCCATTGCCAGAAATTGTACCAGTCATCGATGCATTAACTTGTCACATTTCTTTTGTAGGAATTCTAATTCTCTTAGGGTATTAATCTGATATATTTCTATGGCATTTCAGCAAAGCCAGAAAGAAAGACTGATTATAAATTTTTCTTAGACTTCTAGCAGTTGGGCCTTGCTAGGGTTTTTACCATTAACATTCTGAACTAGGGTTTGCAAACAGTAAGATAACATCAGCTTGATTTCTGTTTCGGTTACACTGCTGAATATTATTCTCATAAAAACCAAAACAGGATTAAAAAAAAAAAAAAAAACACTAAGATTACAACTGCATATTTTATATGTACATCATTATCTACTTGTATACTCCACTTTGATATTCAGGCTCACAGAATTCTCCTCCCAGATCATCACAAGCCTCTGCTGGAAACACCCTGTGACATTTTATCAACAAAAACAATTAATATATACAGTTTTCAACTCACGAGTCATCAAAAAACATGTTTGATTATGAGATCTTACGTCTTTGGACCATCGTACTCAAGATACTCTCTATCAACCAACTCCGAGGTGGCCTTGGTCTTGTTGTTCTTTGTCTCTGGCTTCAGCTTCACTTCAGGGTACATTTCCGCATCACAAGCTTCTCCTCCAATTGTCTCACAAGCTTCTGCTGGGAAAACACTGAAAACACATGACGAGCAAAGAACATATTGGTTAATGATGGAACCATGATCAATGGATGAGAGAGTATGAAATTGAAACCAATGCAAAAATTGGTTTTTACGAGTTCTTGGAGTTATAATCAACTGCTGGATTGTCGTAGGTCGCGACGGTGACATTGACCGGGGGACATCGGAAAGTGATCTGTGGCCTATGAGCCAACTTCCATGACGGAGTTGAGGTTTTGAATGGTGTGAATAAGGGGGTGGATGATGGTGCAAAGTGAAGAACTGCCTGCATTTTGATGAAGTTGGTGTTTGAAGCATATGAGAGAAATGGGCATCCAATTTATGAGCTAGGTTGGTGACTTGGAAGGATAAGGTGACGAGAGATCTTTGTGATTGGATAAGGTTTAATGTAGACTATGGAAGTGGTCCACAAGTTTTTTAGAAATGTTATTTTCCGAAAACAAAAAAAAAATGTTTTTTAGAAATGTTCGTTCACTTTGATATTTTCCCTATTCTAAATTTATAATTATCCAGGTCACTTCCTATCCTTCAAAAATATCTTTCAAATTTTATTAGAAAAATACATAGGAGAACTGAACCAAACACCCGAATTATAGGTCGAATCTAACGTGGCTTATCCACGTCAAGTTATTCTCTCTCCTCTATTACTCTTTGTTTCTCTCTCCTCTTTTCTAACTTCCCTTCTTGGCTCTTCTCTCTCTAGATTATGGTTCTATTACGGTTTTAATTTCTCAAAATTGAAGGTTAAAAACGTAAAACCATTAAAATTTCTTCCAAAACAACATGTACAAAACCAAAAAAAAAAAAAACAACAACAAAAGGGAATTTTTTTTTTGGCTTACATAAGCAGCGAAGGATTTTCGTACAAAGAAAACAAATGATTACAACTTTACTTGAAGATGGAACATTAATTCCGTAAGGGGCTAGCTCTCATGAAAGGAACGAGTTGGCTTGTGGTGCCCTACGCTAGGGAAGTTGTCTAACTGCTCTAAAGGCATCAGACACAGTTCAGAACTGCTGGGATGAAAGTGTGTTGCATAAGAGTATAGGTGAATGCTTTTTCATCACGAATATGGATTTATAGCGTTAGACATGCTTTCAGCACAAGGGAAGATATGGAAACTTTGGATTTTGTATCCCAAAACTTTAAGAAGATTCATCCGTTTCTCTTCTCTTGGTTAGGTTTTTTTTTTTTTTTTCAAATAAAAAATTGGTTTATTTTTCAAGTATATTTTCATTCTGTAAGAGAATATATGTCTCTTGTAATAGAAACTCAGATTTTGAGAGAGAGAGGAAAGGTGAGAAGAATTGATGAAGCAAAGGAACAACCAAATGATCCAAATTGAGAGAAGAAAGAGAAACAAAGAGATAGAGAGAGAAAGGGAAAGTGGGGAGATAAAGTAAAATAGATGGCAAGTTTGGCGTTTTTTGGATAAAAAATTTCGTTTTTGCTCGTCGTATCATTTTTCAAATAATAATGTGGAATTTGACAGCATTCTTTTTTATTATTATTATTTTTTATTCTTTTATTCTTTCTTATTATACACTATGTTTAGATTCAATTTTTTTGAAAAACATTTTTAATTACTTCATCCCATTATTTCTAAAACACGGCACACTTAATTCGTCATTATTTGATCCGAAATAAAAACAAATTTTTTTCTTGGAATTATATATTAAATTCAGCACACTGTTATCGTGATTGCAACACATCCATATTATTGTTGATTTGTAAATTATTTTATTCATAGTGCTGTTAGCTAGATTTAACGCAGTTTGGGCACTTTAAATTTTAAACACATGAAATGTGGTAACAGTGCCTGTTCACTGGATTATTCACCGAATCGAATTTATTTTGAAGCAACGTAAACAAGGACAAGGCTTGAAATCAAGACCATATAACAAGGTTAGCTGCATCCAAAGTACCAAACACTGACTCTCAATTCCTAACACAATTTGAGAGAGAGCAACTCTCACACCCACACATGTTTCCCACCTTCAAATGGTTAAAAAATGGAAAATTACACTGGAATGAAAATGGTTAAAAACGGTTTGTACCAGGTGATTTTTGTTGTAATCTAAAAAGGCCCAACAACAGGATTTTTTGAGTCAACCAAACCTCCCAGACCATCTGCAATTTTTCAGTATTAATATATAAATACTCAAAAATGGAGGAGAAACCCATTTTTTTTTTTCCTTATCCAGCTAGAGTATACAAAGAGTTGTATTTAGGGCAAAGCTTGCCATTCTAACAAAAATTGACTAACAAAGAACAATGTACATACATACAATGCCTCAGCTTCCCACCAGAAAAAAAAGAGAAGAAAAGAAAAAACAAATAAACTAAATAAACACCACATTACATTACAAAGCCCCAAAGCTGAAAGCTTCCAGTAGCTCTCTCGCCGCAAGAACAAAAGGCGGCCATTTAGCATACCAATCCTGGGATCATTCCGCACAGGCACGAACAGGCAGGCAGGCCAACCCACCTCATCCTTCAGACCCTCAAACTTGACCACCATCTCTCTACTGAAGAATTTATCAGCCCACAAATTTATAAAACAAAATTACAAAAATAAATAAATAAAATAAAAATGACACACTAATATTTTTGGACTGAAGCTACCCAGCTTCAGCAAAGTTGGCTCTTTTCTAAATCCTCTTTTATACTATCCATGCGAATCTGATAATTGAGGAAGGACCTCACTGTCTTCAAAATTTGACTCCATTGCAAGTTCAATAGGAGATTTACCGTCCCTGTCTACAGCCCGTGGATCTGCTCCTCTGCATATTTCCATGGAACCATTTTAGTTGGTATTGCACAGACTAGTGTACAATATAGAAAGAAAGAAAAAAAAAATGCATTTTATGCATAAACTAAAATGAATGAATAAGTAGAAATCTAAAAAGATAAATGTTGAAAGAAACAACATGATGTAACCATGGTGTAGCAAGGATCACTATATTACCTTGCAAGAAGTAGCTTGGCAATTGTAGTCTTCCGTCTGAGAATACAACGATGGAGTGGTATCTGACCTCTTGAGTCAGAAGCATTTACGTTTGCACCATACTGTAGGAGGAGTTCTATCATACCAATATCTGTAGTTTCACAAGCTAGGTGAAGAAGGGAGCACCCATCAAAATCCTCCAACATTTCTTCGCTTGTACCAGCTAAGTTTGAAGAGCTCAAGGACTTTCCTGCCGGATCCCCAGTAAAGCAACTAGAGTTGTGATCAAGGCTAGTCTGCTCCTGCAGCAGCATTGCTTTGGCAAGGGTTAATGAAGAGCCAAACAACACTTCCTGATAAACAGCATTCACATCTACTTCAGAGTTGACAATAAGACGGTATACAGCTTTCTTGTCATTAGTACGAACGGCCTCCCAAATCTGTTGTGCCACTGTATACTTGTCCTTAGGTTTCCGAACAAATAGTTTTTCTGCATACTGTGATCAGAGAAAAACACTTTTAGTTTTATGTTTCTAGAACAGATTTGATACATTCAAGTAAATAGCAGGTGTCACTGAAGTTAACTAATTAGGGGATTACTAATGCAGATGCACATTGCATTGCGGAATATTCGTTAATCGCAATAACATATCAACAGCCGTCCCCAGAGGGAATTTTACATTTTTACTGTTTTTCACTTTTGTTTAAATTTGTTTAACTTGCATATTCTTGAGTAATGAACTGAATGTATTGAAGAGAACTGCTCGTTCTACAGAAGATTTATCAATCAGACACGCATGCACAAGCTGGTGAGAATACATGTGCATATGTGAGCACAAACACTTCCATGCATACACAGGCACACATGAATTCACACAAATGGGCACACACTTACTATCAGAAACAGAAAGAGAAGGTACTGGATAGCAATGGAGCAGGCTACATGTAATTCCTCCCAGCTCCACTGGACAGGTAAGGGATTACGCATATTGCACTTAGGCAGATTGAGAGAAAAAATTATTAAACCAAGTACAATTCGGATGTGCGCATGATTTGATAAAAAAAACTGCCTCACCACACCCCTCTTGGAACAAGACTGTGAACCATCGTTATTAGAAGCCCAGGGTCTCCTGAAGCTTAGTCACAAGATGTAACGTAAGGCTCAAGCCTGATTGAAGCAAGGAGTGTGTGTACTAAAAATGAATATCACCTAATAAGTATTGGGGGAAAAAAAACAAAAAAAAAAAACTAAGCTGTTATGCAACACAAACTAGTCAAGATCAAAATAAAGAAAATTTTCAGCATAACATTCAATGGATTAGCTAAATAGCCTAGATCAATATGCATATTACTTTTCATTTTATATATGAATTCAATTAAATCAATGTAGATTCCGAACAAATCAAATATGCAACACAACTAAGAAAAAGTTCTTTGCAAATAAAAATTTCAACATATAAACTTAGAAGATTACGTGTGTCAATGCGCATAATTACCATAAACATGCATATTTATTAACCATATCAAATAGCATAAAAAATGTGTAACAATAATAATAATAAAAATTATGTAGATTTTAAACACACATTATATTATCGAAAGAATACAATATCAAACACTAGTGGGTAGACACAATTAATATAAGTAGTCAATTATAAGCTCATGCATTCCATCACATATACCATAAGATAAAACAATATGATCCATAGAATATTATGTAAATTCAATGTCATTTAAAAAAGAAAAAGAAAAGTGAGAGGGCATAATAAAAAACTAATGATTAAAAATAAGCAGCGCACTCTTTTGAGCTTGGAGCCTGCTAAAATTCGCAACCATGAGGGCTTTACATTAGCCTAACTTCGTCCAACAATTATTCTCTTGACTAGGATGAATTTGATCGAGGTGCAGATTGTGGAAAAGTACTATTTTACTTACTATGTTATCTTCATCACATACATAGCTATGCCCCAGACAAAACCTGAACCCAGCATGTCCTCCCTTAGAAGTGGCAGGAGATATAACTTGTACAGGTTGACAACAAATATAAATAAATAAAGGTTTTTCCTTTTTCTTTTCTTTTTCAGGCTTAAATAGACTAGAAATATAGCTAAATATTTTAATTTCCAAAACTAGCAGACTCTCCAAGCCAGAAGAGAAAATTTTATATAATAAATATTGAACTTCATTATTATATTGAGCGTGCACACATTATAATCACAAAATTATACTGCAGTTCACTGATGTATCTAAATTATTACATCTACGCATGTACACATTTCTATGATAGCCTATAATGCAAAAACATATTAGCAATTGGAGTATTTTAGATTCTACCTATCTGAAGTTGAAAAGATATAGCAGTTCAGCAAACAAATAATTTCTACTCGAAGGCCAGTACAATTATTGTCAAGTAAAAACAAAAAAAGTTCCAGGAGAAGACCAGAAAACAAGGATAAAAGTTACCTTTGCATGAATGAACTTCTCCTTTATTGAAATTGAATCAGCGTGACTAGGCTTGCTGATAAAAGTCAGCTGCGGTTTATCAGACTTGAGCAAGCTTCAGCACCAGAATAATAAGCGAGTATTAGAACCACCAATTAATCAGAAAGGTCGTACCAGAATAATTTATGTAGGATTATAAGGATTATATTCAATCAAAGTGGGGATAATTTACCCTGTAGGGACAAGATCAACCTGAAAAGCACCTCTTGATTGCAGTACTTCCTCCCAAACTGAGTTAGCAAAGGTATTGCCTAATGACTGGAATAAAGTTATAACAGAAGGCTCCCACACTTTAACATCAAGTGTCAGTGACCTTACCTGCAACAGGATACAACCACAAAGGAGCTGAATATACAAGCACCATTATAGAAAGAGGGGAGCCTTTTCACTATTTTTCAGAACTAACTGTACAAAAAACAGCCACTATTTTATTGTCCTTGCCACTATTTTATTGTCCTTGTAATCTACATGAGAAATCTTTCAAGATTAGTAGAGAGGTTCACTGTAAAGTTCATAAATAGTAATGCCTCACCAGGCCGCACGCTGAATTTTCATCAGCAGTCATCTTATATTCCTTATACATGGATGAATGAATGGGCAAGGTATGGTGTATTTATCTCACAATCCTGCTATTGTACCAGCAAAAAGTGCCTTACGTGAGAAAGCATTGGTAAAAGAAAATGCCTATAGTTTTAGGAAAATTTCTACATCCGTTATAGTTAAATAGTTGAGGTTTTATGTAAACTGATTCGAACTCAATTTATTATATAAAACAACAAAAGAACGATTTATACAAGACAATTCAGCACACAGCCAAGCGAGGGCCATCAAATGAATTGCCACACTATTTAAATCTGAAAAATTCAGAAGAGCTCAACAACAAAATGGTATTATTCTAACTATATACACATCACCAATACCCACTACCCAACAAGCTCTCACACTGTAACAAACCCTTCTAATATACTTGGTATGACAAATGAGAGACTGGATAAATTGGCATAGTAATAGTATGACTGGAGTGATAATTTCTACTCTTCATTTTTTTACTTCTGTACTACTAAAGGCATTCTAAGATTAAAACTTGACAAAAATGATGTGCTTATTTAGAAATGTTCTTTGTCACTCGGCATTTATCAATGATTATTGACAGAAAAATGGAAACTATTCTATCAACAAAACCTCTTCTATTTTTGCTTACCAATATGAATATAAACCGTTAGTACAACAGGAAATATGTTTAAAATGTCAGCTTATGCACAGAACCTCTAAAGAGGCCAAGTGGCCAAATTTAATAACTTACCTTTGATATGTGCACACCAAGGTTACGGTGAACACCAGAACATTCAATGCAGACAAGAACACCGAGATTTAAGGATGCCCAGTCAGGTTCAGGAGCACCACAATCAGCACATTTGTCATTACCACATACTCTTCGCAACACGTCAATTGGTTTTTCAGTTCGTAGCTGTTGTGAACCTCTTGATGGGCGCTCATGATATCCAGAGGTCAGCCTCTCAGATGAGTATTCTTCTATCGCTGCATGATCAAAATCAGAACTTTCAAACGAACTACTCTCACTGGCAGATCGGTGATGACTACTTCCCATGGGACTGGCAGGCAAACACTGAAATAAAAACATATTGCAAGTTATAGGATGAGTATGAAAATCAAATATTCATAAATACACTTTAATGTATTACCCGCTCAGGAGCTTGAGAACTAAGTAATGAAGCAATAACCCCAGTTATCTTCTCAATCCAATCCATTTGATCCAGAGCACTCTCTGCCTGCACTAACAAGCGAATATAACACTCTGATTTCATGCAAAATATTAACCCTCAATAATAAGCTGTCAAAAACAATTTGAAAGTCCATCAAGCCTGAAAAATGGTTTAGTTGCCATGTAAGTATCTAAACAAACCAGTTCAAGCAACAGTAAGGATACCTGTAAAGTGTAATTCTTTGTTGGTGAAATAATCCTGAAGCAAAATCTCAGATCTGACTGGTCAGCATCAACTTTTATGGTTGATGTCAGCAGGTTCACAGTGTGATGAGCAACAGACTTTTCATCATGTACTCCACCACCGTGATAATGAGAAGAAAGCCAGCGACTCAGCAGTCCAGAACCAACTTCAGAACTATTCCTTTGACTAGAAAGTTGACTGCCAGAACCCTAAAGAAAATAACTCAATGGTAATGATAAAAGTTTGGGACAGATATCAATAAAAGAATGGTTTACAATCCCTTGCCTCCCTATCTTTTTTCAATAAATTACTTACGGATGGTTTGCTAACTTGTTTGCGATAATAGTACAGCATTCCTCGACTATCAAGTACAAAAAACCTTCTTTTCCAGTCACCTCTCAAGTTTGAGGAACGTTTTGAAAGGTAACCTTGACGAATGGTTTGAACCTGAAATTTGACATGGTTTTAGATGTAAATTGTATAAGTAACGAGAAAACATTTAGAAAGAAGGTCAAAGAACAAGAAGGCAAGAAAAATAAAGATAATCATTAATCATAATATAGAGTTCCTCATTAACCCAAAATCATCTTTTAACCTTTCCCTTTGCAGCAGATTGCATGACTGCCTCTATCATTTTATGTGAACTTCTACCAATTGCTTGTATACCATCACCATTAGGAGATCCATTAGAACCATTTGAAGACAACCTGCTTTCACGATCAATCTGCCTTTTGTACTCCTGCATCCGTTCGTTGAGAGCTGCCTGCTCATAGTTGGACCTTTCTCTTGATTGTTGTGCATAAGTCAAGACCTGCAGAACAATATATGTGCTATTTCAATAGTTTTCAGCTGTAATTTTTTTTTTTCCATAAGTAATAGTTTTCAGCTATAATTAGCAATAAAACTAACCAGATCATTAACTCCACTCAATGAAGCTCTCTTTAATTCTTCTGGGTTGGCCAAACATAAGCTTTTCCCCAACTATTTTAGGTAAGAAATGTAAGAAAGCAACTACTCTTTGCCTAGTCCTAACTATTTAGGCAAGCTACACAAATATTTTTTCTCAGTCCTGCTCAATCAAGGACCAGATTCAACATACAGGTAGAAAAGCTACCTCATTCATCTAGTTACATCCAACAACTCAAAACCAGGCATCAACAGAAGGTTGCCTAAACTACCATCAGAATCTGAAACATGATCAGATTCATCTCTCATAGATGCATCTCAATCTTGAACAGCAGCAATACTTTAGACTATAAAATTTATATTTAAATTTTTTTTGACCCTATTTCTTGATTGTCTCTCCCTCTTAACTACTAAAATCATGTAGCCAAAATATTATGTGTTTTCTACACACCCCATGAGATAGCGATGCTGGTTACAGGAGCATCACGCAAAGGAATCTAGGTTCATTATTCTCAGTGGATTGAGATGCTATAAATATAGAATGCTAAAGATGGGTCATTGACATTGACTAACAACCAAAAAAGTAAGAAGGCTGAGTTGAGCACCTCAACCTTCAACTCTAACCATCAACAATAAGATGAATATATGATCAGTACAAGCAATATGACTGTTTTGAGTAATGATAAATTACAATAATAAGATGCTTTGATTTTCCCGAGTCCCAAAAGTTCTCCTTCATCTTTTGCATGGCATGTCAACTTTACTTTTACAAAGGACAAACTTTCAGAGTGGGGGGTTATTGACTCAGCTCAATATGTTCAATGTGATGCTACGCTGGAAACTATGGATCAGCCCTTCTTTGAATGCAATTCTAAACTACAAATGGAAAGAAATGAAGAGGAATGATATCATGAATTTTATTGCAGATACTGGTAATTTGTACTCGGTCTGTTCACTATTTGAAAGGTCAGACTATTGCAGCTAGCTTAAGAAACTGGTTTTAGCAGCAGCATTGTGCTATATGGACAGAAAGAGATCAAGTTGTTCCAAAAGAAAGAATGGATGGAGCTCTAGTCAGGGATTCTGGAGGCAGTTAAATTAGTATCTATGAGATCGCAGAATATTAAGAGCACGTGAGAATTGAGAATAGTGTATGCTATGAGGTGCTCCAAGATCCATTCTTATGGGGGGGAATAATCAGAATAGATGTGGCTGAGAAACTGGCTGTACTTTTTTATGAGATATGGGAAGTAATAATGTTACTAGGGGAAGAGGAAGAAAAAAGTTAACATGGGTAGAGTTAGTAAAGAAAGATATGACAGCTGTGGTTTGACTGAGGATATGGCCTTAAATAGAGTGGAATGGAAACAAGGGATTCATGTAGCCGACCCAAACTAATTGGGAAAAGGCTTGGTTGTTGTTGTTGGGAAATAATAATGTACAACACTTAAATATGTTCCTCGTATTTTTGGGACGTGTAGAATGAATTCCCCCCTCCCCGCGTGTCTTTCCTTTTGGTCAATTTGCTTATGAAGGCATACCATGTAGATCTATTTCTGTCTAGGGGCATGCCATTCTGCCTGATGCATCTATGTTTTGTTTATAATATATATTTATACTTATTCAGCCAAAATATTGAAGAGATAAGCTTAAAATAAAGATTTCTCACATTGGTAACTAATGCAGGCCAACAACTACTCACCTAAATGAAATTAACAAAATGCATTAGGAAGGCATCCATATGAATTTCACAAAAGTATTTAGCTCAGACAAGAACATAGTTATCAAAAACTTATAGGGTAAACTAGGAGTAACCCTGACGGAGGACTATTAAGACCTCAGATCCGAGTTTGGTCATCCAGGAAAAAGGATGTACTTTTGCATGACTATAAATGCATTGCGCATCAGTAGTCTAAAAAAATGCATTATGTATTAACATTGAGTTTAATAACCCACATTTGGCCAGCCTTTTGATATGATTAAAAAAGAATGATATTATGGAAACCTAAAGTGAGCTTTTTATGGAAAGAGAATCATATTCAGAAGAAGTGTGCTAACAATCCACAAAATTGAACCACTTGTGCTACTAAAATGAAGACAGATACAATAACAGACCTGATTAATGTATGGTTCCATCTGATGCAACAGCTCATACCCCTACACATAACAAAGGTTTAGGAAGTGAATAAGTGATTAGGCACAACAATAAGAAGATTGTCCCAGATGATCTACCTGTTTGAAGTAACGAAGATGAGCATCCATCGTACCACTAACAGCTTCCAAAAATTCAAACCTCTTTTTTGCTTCAACATTGGAAAGAGCAGTTACCTGGAAGGAGATAATCTAAATTATAAAATCCTAAATTTTACTATAACATGCACAAATCATTGGTTATGACCATTGAGTTCAAAATTTTACACACCAAATTAAAGCGAGCGTGCTCAAAAGAAGACCTTGCATGATGAAGCTCCTGGAATATTTCCAAACTACATTAGATTTCAATGAATGAAAGATGTCCACTATAAAGTTTCATCATTATAAGCATATGAACTGGTTAAGAATATTGCATCACAGTCAGTATTGAACAATACCTCCTCTAGAATGGTAGCTATATCAGTCTTTGTGCCTTTTCTCAGTGACAGAAATTTCTCACGAGCCTGCAGCATGGAATGTGAGTCGGAATTGAATATTAATTCATACAATCGCAAATTTTATACAAACACCAAAAACCACAGTAAAATGTCAAAACCCTGATCGAATTACATGTATAGTTTCAGGATGCCTGTTCCAGACTATTCTTCTTGTATTAAAACAGAGAGACAATAAACAACGAGGCCATAGTTTTGATTTTTATTTCGTTATTTATTTATTTTGGGTTTTCATGTAGAAATCTAACATCCCTCGACGGTTGTAACATTCTGGTAGTTTTTCCAACCCATTTATGCAGATACATCAAATTATATATAGAGGAAGTAAATTCTTTTGGTGGGCCAGGTGAAACAGGCTGGCGTCTAGGCTAGGCAATCAAGATAACAACACTTGAAATTCAGTTATGAAATCAAGCCCCTTCCAATGTTGATTTAGTTCAATTACTTCATGGTTGTCAATACCAACCATAAGTTAGCATTTGCAGTGTGCTAGAACAAACTAAAACCTGGATTTAATTATTCCTATCTAAGTTAAACACATCATATAGGAAATAGATGTGACTGCAGCTTTGAAGAGCATATAGGAAATAGAAGTGACTGCGTACATCTGACATTCCCCAAATCTAGAAAAGGCGGAAGTCCTGTGCACGAGGCTAACCATTTTTGTTTCATCTCCAAAATATAAACCCACTCAAATTCTACTTATGAATCAGGCAAAAATAAAAAAGAAGCAGCCTACTTATGAATGTTCTTAAATAGCTTATTTTTTTCTTTTCCTCTTGGGAACTTGCAACTATATCTAACAATTCTCTAAGACCTTTGCCCAAGAAAGACATTCCTTCACCACAGTAATATATTCAACCCGCCAATAACGAAGTCTTTTCTTCTCCTTGTTTTTGCCAACGACAATAAAAGAAAATGAAAGAGACAAATATAATGTTGAACATTTTTTGAACTTCTTCCTATTAAATTTCTTTCCATCTTGATGCAGCCTAAATGCATTCATCATTTGAAGTATTCCAGTATCAGAATAACATTAGAGTCCAAGGACTAGACAAGTTAGAAGTTAGCTCGCTCATTCTGTTACTTATAAAGTTGGCAGGCAGTTTTCAGTAAAATATTAATGTCGGCATAGGAAATTAACTTAGTTTTATGAATCCAAGCAAGGTCAACCATGTAAGAAGGCTGGCCAGTTCAAACAACATGGTAGTAGTAGTAGCCCTCTATGGTGAGCATTCCGGTCCTGAACTAAAGACTGTTGGACTATTGAGTGATGTTTTGGATATGCGATTGAGCATGCGGATTTAGTTCCGTGTTTTTCGTGAATCTTTCTTTGTCTATGTCGTCTTCAACGGTCGGACACTTCATGACTCATGACATTGACACATTACAACCCAAGTTTTGTGTAGGAAATTGTAATACATGAGCCATATACCTCAGTTACATTATAAGAACAATGACAATGATAATGCCGTCTGTCAGTACATAAGAATTGCATTAAATCAAAAGAAAGACTTCTAACTATCTGAGATGTGAGATGCACCTGGTCATAAAGAAGGCTTGCCTTGTCGAAACGCTTCCGTGCTTCCTGCACTAAGACAAGATTCCTTAGAGCAGAACTAATAAAACTTAGATTAACATTGGAAAATAAGAAGATACAGGATGGTTACAAATTTACATATCAATAATATAAATCAATTAATCACATGGTTTAAAAAGAAAAACATTGCTAAAAATAAATAATGTTTGCAAAAGTAAGAGAATGGGGACAGGTGCATACCCAGTATTGTTCTAAACTCAATAAGATATCACTAAGATTGTATTTAAAGAAACAAAAAGTAAGTTAAGCTTGAAAAAGAACCCAGCTAAATATCACATCAGCTTTTACTTTTAGCAATGAAGTTACCCAGCATGCAGTATTTCTAGAGCCATGCCTAACTAGGGTGTAAGTTTAAACGACACTATGAATTACAAACAAAATACAATTAACATATGGTACCTTGACATCATGCAAATCTATATTGACAAATTGCAACAATCGGTCATTTAGCATGTGCTCAACCTGGAAACGCGGAAGGAAAATGTCAGACAAGAAAGCAGCTAGTGTATCAAAGTAAACAAGACAGAAATAAAGGCTGCAATTTCTTTCCTTTTTCTTTTTTAGTCGTGGATGTAACGATAAAAAAGAAAAGGGAAAAAAAATTCCCAGATAACCATATTTTATGAAAAGGCATAATGCTAAAAATGGTGGATGTTAGTCTGAAAAATAATACTTCAAAGGTGACTGGTAAAAACCTGTCAAAGACAAAAACTATTTTTTTTCCTCACTTCTTTTCTTTTTGCAATCAGCAAAATGCACAACTCAACTCTTTGAATGCAGAGAAATTGCAAAAACATTAAACTGAATTATCCAACAACTAGAATAAAGCTTGAATAAGTTCACAAGGGGAAGGTAAATGATAAATCAATAGCTCATGTGATGTTTTCATTTATAACGACATGCAGACATCTCCAGATAAAATCTATACCCAGTCCACCTTCTCAGCAAGCATTCTCAATTAATGGGGACTAAAACTTGGGCAATATCCTTGTAAACGACATATAAACGTCATATATGCACACGCACAAATACATAAACTTAAATTGAGAAAAAAGATAAGAGAATCAATGAAGGATAAGATGTGGGAAAAACTACAGAGAGTGCATTAAAAAAAAAAAAAAGAAGTCAAGCTTGAAGGAATAAAAAAACCTTAAAAATCTGACCACAAAATTAACTAAGAGGCATGCATGAAAGTTAGCACCAAATCTATTGAAAAATAAAATTCAATTCATATTTTGGCAGGGAAGTCAAGAACCATCAAACACTTATTAAATGAATGCATGAAACTGATTGCATGAAATATATTTACCTGGGATCTAAGAATTTCTTTGTATGTCCCTATTTCTCTCAATGCAATAGTAAATTTTGTCATAACAGGACCTAAACAAACAATCAGAATTTTCATCAGTGACATCAATAAACAACAGGCATTTAGAAAGCTAATTCAAAATTATCCAAAATTTAGATCAAATATTTGGATTTAGCATTTACATATTATCAAATAGAAAAAGAATAATGATAATGATTGACACCTGCGTGGGCAGATCATTAAAAAAGTTCAGCGAGCTTATTGAAATTTAACATAGACACCAAACCATTATACTAAATTCCACAAATTGATGTTTCTCACAGAATGACAAGAGTTCAGTCAAAGGTTACATTAAAAAACCTCAGGTAACATAAATCGATTACGGTCTTACACTTCATATATCTCTGCATTCAACTAACTTCATGCATCTAGAATTCAAAAAAAGTTAAAACTTTCAAAATGCATGATTTGTTTCATGCATTGGTTTTAAAATTCCAAAACCGCCACAAATCAATTCCACTTCAATAAAAATGAAGTTTAACACAAAGTTGAACTTCAAAAATATGGAATTGTTACTTTTTATTTGAACTGTTCAGAAAATTTCTCTAAATGCTCCACTTCAACTAAAAACATAACTCAAATAAGAAGCTATGTAGATAAGAATTGCAAGTTGGGCTTTTGTGTGAACTTTAATCAACCCACAACATTATAAACTCCTGGACAATTGGACAGAAGCTCAACCCACATGTTCAAGTCCAGTACAAGCATAAAAAGACACTGCCTTACAAGCAAGTAACTTATTGGTTTCAAATGCCTGTACAGGATTGCTTAGATTTTGCTGTATTTCCATAAGTACAAATTTCCATCTCCAGACTCCACAAATGTGAGTCATTTGTAAGGGAGATCAAGTACCTTATATATATATATATATATATATATATATATATATATATATATATATATATATATATATATTGTTAATAAGTTTCTATCAGCTTTAAAAAATTAGTTCCCTTCACAGAGTCAAAGTTCGTAACCAGCATATTTATTGCTCAAGAGAATCACATTTTGTTAGTCATTCATATGTATCTAAGAAGAATAAAGATGAGGAAATGCAAAACGCTTTTACGTGAACAAGGTTAATTATGTACACTAGATGATTTTCACAGAAGCAGCTATTATGAATCAACTCTCCAGCGACACAAAACTAAAGGCAATAGAGTCAACAGACCAACTTGCACACGTCACCACCATAAAGAACTACCAATATGAAATGTCAGCATTTAGGCATACCTCCAAAAGCCACACTAATGGGATCATTATGCCCTCCACCGAATGTTTCTAGGGCACTGGCAAATGCGATGTCCCAGTCATATCCTTCCCCGAGTCCTTCGCTGCAAGTTAGAGAACACACATAATTAAGACTCTTCAAAAAGTAAAAGAATCTTAAGGAAGTTGAAAATTGACTACAAATAAAAGAAACACCACCGAAGTGCATAACTTCGTATTAAACAAACTAATCAGAATTTCTAAAACATTTCACCATCTCTCCATGCTTGAAATCCATAAAAATTGCAAAACAGCACACTATCACATGAACTAATATCAACTAATTAAGGGGGAAAAATAGTGCAAAACCAAGATGTTGTTCCATGAAATTCAATATCAACATAAAGAATAATCTAGGGAAGAGTTGAATCCAAATTGGTGATAAGTACATCAAAATTTTTCAACATAAACATTATGCTACTTCAGTTTGACCTCTAATGTTTACCTTCGAGGAGTAGCACAGCCAACAAATCCTAGATGGGCTCAGACGAACAAATTAGATCTAGATGGAGGTGAATCGATCTTGTTTTCTCTCTGAACTTTATTCAAATTAGATCAATAATTCAAGCTTGCAACAGATAAATCAAAGTTCAAGTAACAGGAAAAAGACGCTCGTGCAGATCAAATCAATCCACCATGTGAAGAAAAGGTTACGTGTTTAAACCTTGACACATCTTATGCCTGACTACTAGACACAATAGCAGCTGACGCCTCAAACTCATGCCTGGTTTCCACTTGTCACTTATCAGCCCAAATGTTGGTGACAGAGTCTTACACGCACTCTCTCGAGATAATCCGGTGTTCTGTCAACACAATCAAACCACTCAATCTGTCTTCTTCACCAGTATTAAATCTGACTCACCACTCACGGAGTCACAATTGTAAGTAGCTAAGATTTTTTGCTAACGAGGTTCTTAAACCAATCATGTAGAGTACACATCTCAAACAGCCAGTAGAATCATAGACACAAAGCTAACAGTCAAGTGGTATGTGAATTTAGGAAAAAAATAAGAAAGCTTGCCAAAAAAACAACAATATCGCTGGAAAATCAAGATCAATCTTACATGTGTCAGAAAAGAGAAAAAAAAGATTAAGAAGAGAGAGGTGAAAACCCTTAGAAGTTTGTTCATAAAGAGCTAGAATTATATGTTAAATATACAAAAACTTTGAAACTGTTAGGTCAATAGGATTTGTGTTAGCAAATTTTGTAGATCAAAACATAAGTATGTTTTGTTTAATTTCTAGCCTAGTTTAGGAATTTTTCAAAAGTTACTGCTAGTTACCTCTTAAAGCTGAAGATGGAATACATGATCCAACAAAGAATAAATTCGTAATCTTCAGCTACAAAGGGTAAAAAGGTGTTGTAAACAATAAAATATAAGAGAAGAGAGACATAAAACAAGAAGACCACACAGACATTACGTGGTTCAGCCACTAGGCCAACATCCACAGCACAAAGAGTCCAAATCACTTCTATAATATTCTCTCTTAATCTTGGTACACAGTGGTGAAAGAATACAAGCATATGATAAATGTGATATAGAAAAAAGTCTAAAATCACTCCCATAATTCACTCATATCAATATTTTGTCAATGAGTGATTTAAAGTCTTAAATCACTCCTATAATGATATTCTCTAAACATAACATCTTCCAACAAAAGGCAATTTGACACAATGATGCGCACTAACCAATTAGGATTCATGCATTGTATCTAGGCTTTCTTAATTCCCAAGTCTTAACTTATTTTGATTCACAAATATGTTTCAAGATTTGCATGAATTAAGGTCAGGAAACTGTCATATTAAGAAATTTTCAAGTATAAAATCTAAAGAAGGGTTTTGATCAAGGGCTTCTGGAGTAATGTCAATCAATTAACGTTAAATTAAATCGATCAAGCTGTTCGGAACAGTAGTATCCTATTTGGTTTTACACTCTACAAAAAGCCTGTTCTCTCTCAACCTCTTGGCCGGCTATAAATACACTACTCTTAGGTAGACCTAAACACATGACATACAACTCTCATACACATCAAATACATATTTTTGAGAGAAGATTTTTGCAAGATTTTTGTGCCTGCATCTTTCTTTTACATCCATCGTATGCATTAGCTTTGGTGAGTGTATTCATATGTGTTGACACTGTTGCTACCTACTCTTGGAGTCTAGTTTAACACATCAATTCAAATTCACAACCAGATTGACAAACAGACGAATAGTGGTTACGATTGAATTCACCAGAGAAGCAGATCCTTGAGGAGAGGTTGTTGTTGACTAATGGACAAACGACCTGACAATTTGCAGGGGAAGGTTTGGCACGGATCTATGGTAACTAGAGGTTCGAGTGTTACTGAACTGTTAAACTAGGGTGTAAAGTTCCTTTCTAATAGTGGATTTAGTTTGTCTAGACTAAGTTTCTGGTTTTTTCCTCTTTGAGAGTTTTCCACGTAAAAAACTGGTATCCATTACTTATTACTTTACTGCTTTAATTAGTGTGCATTGCATGGCTATTACAATCTGTTGGTATGTTTTTAATTGAGAACTTTGTTAATTCTGTTTTTATTTAAAAATCAGTTGAATTGTTCTACAATCCTATTCGTCCCCCTTTAGGTCCAGATCGGAGGACCTTGCATGACTCTCTATCTGAGCTCTGGGTTCCCGTCCTTGGTCTTTTGCACTATCAAAAACAGATTTCAAAACTTTTAATAGAGTTTATGAACAAATAGGAGTTTTTGGATAATCAAGAATCGCAAATTCGAGATCGGGGAGTTTGAGGCCAATGGAAGCTTTGTCACCATTGATGGAAGGTCCCGATCAGGATGGATTCAACGATGGTTATTTGAGGACGGAGAGGTGGGGCTACTAGATGAAGGATCAGCTTTGCAGGGAACCCTATGTGTCGTCACCATTGGCGTGCCATAGGTCCGAGGGCTCCGCCGCACCACACGGCTGTTCCAATCGCCGAAAATATCACCACCACCATGCCGCCAGAGTCAACAGTATAGCCCTTACGTCTTTCCGGCTCCAGCGCCAGCATCTTCCGTGAAAAGTGGCCATCAATGAACTTTGATTCAAGTGTTCGTCGACTGATCTGTATTTAATTTGTTCTTAAATTTTTTGAATTTAGGCGTTTAAATGTAATATCAATACATGAATTGGAGACAATTTTGCATGAGAAAAAATTGATGTGTTCGTAATTTTTGTTTGGGATTAGATAAGATGAAATTGGCAAAGGATGAGGATCTTGCTGAAAACATGTGGCAACACTGAGTTTTTACTTTCTATTTTTGAATAGTTTTGAGTTTTTATTTATTTATTAATTAATATATTTGTTTCCCATATACTTTGATTTACTATCTTAATTAATTATGTGTTACTAACTCTATGTTGCTGCTACATAATACAATCATGTATATAATAATCAAATACTTAATTAAAAAATATATATAATGCAAGTCACTGAAGTGAAAGGGTATGATTTTAAATTTACATAGAATCCATAGGGTATATTTTAGTCTTTTCACGTAATTCTTGGTGTTTTGACACCATGTAGAATGACTTGAATACACTTTGTCAAAACACCAAGAATTACGTGAAAAGACTAAAATATACCCTATGGATTCTATGTAAATTTAAAATCATACCCTTTCACTTCAGTGACTTGCATTATATATATTTTTTAATTAAGTATTTGATTATTATATACATGATTGTATTATGTAGCAGCAACATAGAGTTAGTATGGATTCTATGTACCTCTGACACCATGTGCAGGTGACGACAGGGGGTGTTTGAGTAAGATGGGCAAACTCTAAAAGAATGAGTGAAAGTTAAAAACAAAATGTCTCTCCGTGTGGGATTTTGGCAAACCTGAGAGGGAGGGGTGGGGGTTGGGGTGCCACTGTAATTTACCCTAATAAATTTGTAATCTCAAAACAAAGATATTTAAGAAGAATCGCGAGGAAATGAGCAACAACTTATAGATCCATATCGATATTGAAAAACATGAAAGATTGACAATTACAGGACAATCTGGCAATAAAGATTTAAAGAGTATCATTCAAAACAAGAACACATTAGCATAAAGTTCAAAACACCATCAGTTGAAATTTGTCTAATAGTGCCTGATCAAATTAAACACAAGCTCATTAATTTTTAAAAATATTAAAATAAACAAAATTAAGATAAACCATCAAATATATACACACACAAACATATATATATATATATATATTCTTGATGAGTAGATAAACCATTATAATTTGATTTCAAGACTTAAGGCATTTAAAAGATGAAACATTCCCAAAACTTCAAAACATCAAACAGAAAGTTGAATTAATTCAGAAACGTGATTAAAAATGTACTCACGTGTACTTTCGACATCCTTTGTAAAATTTTAAACTTCTCTCCCTCAAGGATTCGGCACTTTCCTCCAAGCTTTGTATCTATTTCATCAAATAGTACACTATTAATTTATAGAACTCAGCACAAATACCAAATCAATAAGTTTTAAATAATGAGCACAAGCACAAGTGTTTGTACCCTTAATAAAAAGTGACTTACACATTAACCGCCAAAGAACTGACATAAAATATGTATGAATACAAAATTACAGACACAATGACTCTGCAAGAGGATATTAATGTAAGCTGCCAACAGGAATTTTTTATTTCCAAGGTTGTCAAAACAGGAATTATAGGATCAAATTAGTTCAACCTAGCATCACTTGTGTTGCACATCACAAATTTAAAAATAAGCAAGGTTGCAAATGGGTTTAAAATTAATTGTTATTGTTGGAAATTTGTGAAGATGCAGTGTGTGAGGTGAAGACAATAAAGAATCAATGAGCGATAAAATAACATTACCTAAATATTTTGCCACGATAATGGGAGATCATCAACAAAAAATTTCATCCTAGATGATCAGTGTTCCCTGTGTTAATTGGGTAATAGTTCAGAAAGTCAATACAACAAATTAAAGGTATTCTCTTGTGAACAACTGACTTGATCTGGAGGGTAGAATATTTTTTCCTACCTATGAGACTACATCACTTAACTCTAAAGGGATAGAACTCATTTTCCTACTATATTAGATTACAGGTCACTGTATAAAAGACTGAATTTGATCAACTTAGAAAATTCATCAAGGTGATTATTTCTTTAACTAATGAAACCAAGTGTCTTACAGGTCAGATTTTAATAAATTACCAAGAGATGACAAATAGTACAAGGGGGTCAGCCTAGACCCCTTAATTATTTAGATACACACTGATTTTTGTTTACCATTTTCAGCTCTGTGTAAGTTTTTTCACTTTCCAACAAAGAGATCGGACAAGCCAAACTAGTTTTCTCATACTTTTTTACCCTAATTGTGCACAATTATAATAATAATAAAAATAAAAATAAAAATTGACATCTACAAGCCGTCTAAGTATGTTCTGGAGAAAGCTCGGCAAAATCTCAGTTACTTAGATATTTAAGTTTTAATGAGCTTCTACTAAAACTCTTCACCTTCGCCATGTATGTATAAACAAGTAGCATATATAACAAAATACTCCATTAGAAGGCCCTGTGCTTAAGACATAACTTCTGGAGTGGTTCAAGTAGTAGTGATGAAGATAAAATGCAAAATTACAGAGCACATCGAAGAAAGAGAAATGAAGAATAAGCAACTAACCTGTTTACGAAACATAGGAGAATCATCAAGCTTTGTGAAATGCATGTTTGCAACAGCGATTCGTCTTCGTTTATGTAATAAATAGTACCAATTAACATCACATTAGCACCAGTATTGCTCGATCTTCAAATATAGAACCTCACTTAACATCAGCAACCACCTGAAAATCCACTCAATGCCCTCTCTCTCTCTCTCTCAAAACCATTCAAGATCTCTCATTTTCATCCGATCTCAAATCATCACCACTATGAAACCAAACCAAAAAAAAACACCAACCAATCACCTCTGTAACTTCAATGGAGAGTACAAATTCAAATTGTCAGAAACCAAACCCAAAGCATGAAAAAGAAAAGCAACAACAATGTAAAACCAAATTCGACTTTTACATAGGCTTTTGATTTTTGCGACTACCAAACCTAATAAGATAGAGAAGGAGAGAGCTGGAAATTGAGGGAATGTAAAATTGTTGGGTTCAAAACCCTAGAAGAACAGAAGAGCAGTAAAGAGAGAGAAACCCTAGAAACGAGGAGAGGAAAAACATGAGCTGAGATTTGTGTTGTGTTAATGAAAAGTCTCGGGAATTGAATGTAACAAATTTAGGCAAATACGATCCATTAACCTGAAAATGTTGAGACCATGTGAGAGAAAGAAAGAGAGACAGACAGACATTGATAAAAGAGAACACAGAGCTTTTTTTCCGTATTCTTCTCTTTCCTTTTTTATTTTTATTTTTTTCAAGGAGAAACATAATCACATATACAAATATATAGATACATGGATTTGTTTTATACTTATTTTAGACAAAATAAGTGTTCGGACTTCGGAGCAGTAATGAGATATATCAACAATCCAGCAAACCTCGGGCGTTAAAAAAGTGTGGGGCATGAAATGGTACTGTTTCTTTTTCTTTAAATTTTATTTAATTTACGAGGTTGGGGACTCCGACACGGGTCAAACTAAAATGTTTGATTCAAAAATAATTTAGATTTTTTTTTTCTGAATTGTTTATATTTTAATTTTAAATAGAATGAATAATGTTTAATCGGAATTTCCATCCAAATCAAGCTAATTTTAATGTCTAAAAATATTTGTATTATATATCAATTATAAGGTAAAAAAAAATTAATTAGTTTTATAAAATACAGAAAAAAAAAATAATTAAATAAATTTTCATAAATTTGTTTCTAATTTAGTCTGTTTAATTAATAATAAATTAGTGAGTTGGCACTTGTTAGACAATGGCCCACAAACTCGTAACTAATAAATTATAAATGTACTAGTACTTGTGCACACTGCACACTTATTATTAGAAGATATGACTGAAAAAAAAAAAAAAAAAAAAAAAAAAGCAATTTGGATGATACATTATATCTGACATCCTAATTTTAGGATAGTTGAATATTTAAAATAGTAGTTTGTTAAGATAATTATATGATAATTTTTTATGGTTCAGCGATTCAATTATTAAAATTATATAAATAAAAGAAAAAAGTGATGAATTTAAACTGATAAATATTTCAGAGCAAGGGCGGAATTAGGATTTTTAGTTTAGGGGGCATAATATTAAGGAAAAAAAAATTATTTAAAGGAATAGAAGGGAACAATTAAAGTTTAATTTGATATGAAAATTTTAACTTTTTTTAAGAAATTTGAAGAGTAAATTAGGAAAAAAATTTAAAAATTAATAATTTTAAGAGAGACATTATATAAAAAATTTCATATATACACATATAAAATATCAAAAAATTTATATATATATAGTGGGCGACCCCATGCCAGGGGCAAGTGCTGCTGGGCATACACCGGCTAGCTAGGCCCCTGTTTAAGAGTATCATATAATTTGAACTGACCCGCATTACATTCTTCAAATCTTACACCCGACCCGACCCAAAATCACTAGCCCACCAAAAATAAAAAGGTAACGTGACTCACTATTATAGTAGTATTATTATATATACTATGTATTACTAAATTCAGAAGAAAAATGAACAGTACCGAAGTATGGGACCCAAAAAAACACTGCTCTTAATTATTTTACATTCTAATAAGTACCAATAATTCTTTAAATTATACTCTGATTTCCCTTTTAAGGTGTATGCTAATTACGCCAGCTGAGAAGATCAAGCTTTTGATCCGACAAATTTTTATTTTTTTAATTATATTTAAATGTTTGATTTGTTTAAACTACAGTGAAATGTTTGTTACTTTAAAGTTGCTAGCGGGGTCATACTGTTAGTAAAATACAGACTGTAAGAAAGTGGTACTTTATACATAATATTTTTTGTAAAATAAAAAAATAATTAATATAAAAACACAAGAGCAAGAAAAATACACATGAATATCTGTGCGCAGGATATTAATACTATAACATTTTTATATTATTTCTTCACATGGAGGTAATAATTATTTATTAATATTTTTTTCATTTTTCCAAGCATGCATTTATGCTGTAGTGTTGTACCCACCTTACATTGTTGTTTTTGGCATGCACTATGTCCTACTCTGCTAATAAAATTTTATATATATATATATATAATAGGTAAGGTATAGGAAAAAAAAAAAAAGAACATGGAAAATAAAAGAAAAACAAAGTAAAAAAGTACAATAATCAATGATCAAAAAATAGATGAGGGCTTTGTAGATCATCAATTGAAAAAGTAAAAAAAAGGAATGAGATGAAGAAAACTTTATCATCACGGCTTGGGCCCTATGCTGTTAACTTTTTGACCACTTGCTATTTCTTTTCCCACTCTCTTTCAAATATATAATTAATTTATGGCCTGAGTGCGCTTAATCTTTAACCACTAAATCCTTTCCAACTTCTATAACCCCATGGACAACACACACACACACAGTTTGCCTGTATATGTTAATTTTTTCGAGGAATCTAACACTCTTTGGTTCCATACATATAGGTCCTCATGAGTACTTGACATGTTCATTTGTTTATTGTATATGCTGTTAAAACATAGGGTTTCAAAACATGCTAAGCAAATGGTTTTTACTCCGATTGTATGATTTTTCATTTTTAAAGAGGAGAGCAGGAGTTTAAGCATAAACGTGAATAAAAGTGTATGAATACGTAGGCCTCACTCGTATGCATTTTGTTTTTGTTGTTTTTGTTTTTGGGCTGTTACAGTGTCAATTTTGACAACAAATACATGTTTGATACGGCCTGTTTTATGTTACACAGTGTTAAAATACTTCATGAACAGTGGTCAAAAATCAAAACACCAAAAAGTTATTTTTTCTTATTTTAACAACGGTTCATAACCCAAAATCATAACAGTAACGCAACACGAACCAAAAACAAAACTTCAAAAATATCGTTCCCAAACGTACTTCCGATTTTTTTTTCAAAATATTCCTACAACAAAAACACTGTTTCTGTTTTCGTCAAAAATTCTAATAATTTTTTTTATTATTAATATGTGAATCTAATTACTTTGTTAACCTTAACTTACGACAATTAAAGCATGTAAAACAGTAAAAGGCAAGGCTATAGAGACAAGAGTTGATTAACAACACAAGTGGAAAAGAAACAAAACTAAACTACAATAAGAGAGAGAGAAAGTTAAAAAAGAAAGCAGAGGCCCGACACAGACAGGGACACTTCATATGAGGAGTACTAAAGTCTAAAAACAATGCTCATGCTCTTTCTCTTGATCCGAAGATGTCACACTTAGACTAATCCAGAGGCATCGATCCCGCTCAATCAGGGAAGTTGAAAAGCTTCTTGGGCTTGCCACGAGTTGCGAACGGGCCGACTTCAACACCGTGAGTGTGATACTGTGAGTATAAGAAATGGTCGGTCGTCTCTGGGTGCCTAGGTTTCCACCCTAAGCCTTTCCTCGTTTGAACCTCGCCCCATCCTAAGGTGCTGCTAAATGGAAGGATCTTATCATCATCCATGAATGATAAATCATAGATCGAACCGCCGAATCGGAAAAATTGGGTCCTATAAGAAAGATCTACAATACTCTGAATAATTATTATAGTAAAATATGTGATATCCGACTTATATCTTTTTTGAAAACTTTTCATTTCTATGTTTGTTTTTTTAAGTTAAAATTCATTTCTATGTTATTAACAAGAGTTTTCATTGCTGTCCATTGTACTTGTTCATGAATAAAAAAATAAAAGGTGAATTTCCAAAATCGAGATCACTGCTTTTTTAAGTACTGCCACTTATTTTTAATCTAAAAAAAAACTCACACGTCCACTTTTTTTACCGCGAAGACTTTGACCCTTAGACTAACTCTCAGTAGTTTAAAAGTAGTTCAGCAAAATGGAAAATTGCCATGACTGATTGACTGCCTCTCTCGATCCTAGGATCATGGCATAAAAAGTAACGAGTTACTTCCAATCAGTGTGTGAAAATGGGACTTAAATAAGAGATACTATCAAATTAAGTGATAGAATATGATATTATAACGATAAATTAAAGTTACATTCCGGAGCACCACATTCGAAACTTTTTGAAGCAACTAAATTTTCTCCGATTCTAAGAAGTGAATTCAATGCATAGCACAATTGTAGATAACCAAACTGAAGGAGGCCAGAGATCCTGTCCCCTCCTTTTTTTAACCTGCAGCAATCCCTTAGAAGTATATGCAAAACCTATATATAAATAGCATCTGGTACGTTGTAAATAGATTTTGACAATATGGACCCAGAGAAAAATGACAGATCGATAATTTAGCACTTCAAAATGCTGTCAAAGAACATTATCTAAAGCTTATTCAGGTCATTTTACGAAGGTAGAGTAATAATGAGTATGAAATCAAAAGATACACACAGCATTCTGTGTCGGTGATGGACCTCAAAGGTTTAATTAGAGCTTCAATGTCAACAAGTGGTATTTGGTTGGACCCTCCTCAACCAAAAGGTCACAGAATCAAGACATACACATCAATGCATAGGATAACATATACAAATCAATGCTAGCACGCACATAAAGTTGCTCATGTCTGTTATTGACAATATGAATCTGGTAAAAACATACAAATCGTGCAAGAATATGAGCAAGAAAAACAAAATCAAATTACCAAGTGTAAGCAAATAATAGGTATGGATTTGCATATTACCACAGTAATCTGTACAATCACTGAATCATCAGTGAGATGACAACTTATACATTAACCTGAATCAGATAAAAGAAGCAGCACAACAGCTGGTAACTCTCAGATTCCCATATTTTATTATGTGTATTGACGACCTATAATGGCAATAAGCCATAAAAAAAAGGTATAAAGAAAAGAAGAAAAAAAAGAGGGGAAAAAAATGTGATCATCCATCTGAATGTGATCCCAAGATAATTTTCAAATTTTAATTAACTATATCCTTCACCAACCTCTACAAATCCGTGGAGCTCCGGGAGAATTTTAGTATGTACACTGTTCTGACGGCTCGCTGCTACAACTTATCAGCGATTCTGCCCAAAGCATCCGCGAGTTTATTGAGAACAGCAACTATGCTATTCACATGGTCTTTTCGCTGCTCTCTATCCAATTGAAAATTGATGTTCTGAGCTTCTAGCTGGGCACTCAGCACCCTTCCATTTTTTTCTAATGCGTCAACCAACTGATACTGCAGGTTGGCTGTCTCCTCATCCCCGTCCCTAGCAAACCATTTTCGTTTGCGTCCTTCCTGAGAAGTAGCTCCTACCTCGGGGATTGAAGTTGGTTGTTTCTCATATGTTGCACCTGCAGAACAAAAGCTTATCTCAACAAGGTATAAGACCACCATTTCTGAACCATTTTGTTTTTGGATTCCACAATGGCAGAGATGTTACAAGCCCTCTATTATGGAGGGCAGATGAAGGCAACTTAACTAGCAAATGCATCACAGGACACAGTCACAACTCCATATTTACAGAGAGTATGTCTTCTGGCGTAAGAAAGATGTATTAAAATTTGATGGAACTTCATGCCTTTCATTTTCAAAATGAGATTATATTCTGATAAAAACTTCAAATATTTCAATTTCTATGTTCGTAAGTAATAATTTCCACCCTTCCATTTCTCTTAACATTTTTCATATATTAAAATGAAGTGTCGATAATCCATTCTCTTTTACCAATATTTAAGCTCACAGACTCACCATCATCCTTACCTTAATCCCGTAAGAATGGGGCCGTCCACATGAATCTTTCCTATTACATGCCATTTCCCCTACCATGTTTACCTTTTCAAGGTCATTTTTAATAACCTCAAAGTCATTTAAGCTCACTGACTGAAAGAGAAATTTGATTTCTAAACCAGATTTAAAACTGGGCTTTAACAGAGTGCAAAAGTCAGTAGTTTATAACTTTTGCCTGCAGTCCTGCACCATACAATACAAATGACCCAAAGGCCTGAAGATAAGGATGTGGGGGCCTGACATGGATATTTAGATACCTCAAATTGACCTGATTGAACCAAATCATTCCTAAACCTTTATCCACTATGTTTTCAAACAGTGGTCCAATAGAATAATATTATATCCAATGAATAGTATTTGCTCGATTGGAAATCTGTTGCTCCGAGGTATCTCCCATTCTGATGCCCAAGATGGTGAATTGTGTATTTAGATATTCCTAGTCTAACAATTAAGAAGAATTTGTTAGCACCTAGCAATATCAGGCCCCTACTTTCCAAAGGGAGGTCAGGGGTTCAAGCCTCAGTGGAGGCATGTGTGTGTGAGTACTAACTAAGAAAAAATAAAAATAAAAAAGAATTTGTTAGCACATGTAAAGATGCTAACAAATTCTTCAAGGAACGGTGGAGAAGATTTCAAAAGGTGGCACTGGGACGGTAAAATCAGCTAGCAGTGACAGTGCTTCCCCATGACAGAATTTTCCAGTAATTAGCAATGTTCGAAACTGATACAATTCTGAACAAGGTATTAGCCAGTTAAGGCTTTTGGTACTGAGATTTGTGGTCCAAGACCCCAAATTTTGATTTAATCTAATTCTATTTTGTTTCCGGCTGAGTGAAGAGGGAAGGGGATGATATAGGCAGGATTAACACCATAAAGGTACCGACCATGAACATGAAATCGGTTATGAAGCAGTCATCTGCAGGTCAAATGATCTTTGCTAACACCAGTCTATGGTTTTATTGTATGACACAGAAAATGTAGCAAGACAAGCTGCAGCTTAAGTTGGATCAAAAGCAGTGAGCCATCACAGAAAATATCATAAAATTGTGAAAAAAATCATTACTTTTTATATACAACCACTCTTCATTCTCGGTGTCAATTATTATAAAAAGAAATCGAGTATAAAGTTGCAGCACCAAAAGTTAGACTAGAATCCAATAAACAAGAATGACATGCTTGCTAAATACCATCTCCAATTATTCATAAATTCTGCCATTTCAACAGTGCAACAAGAATGATCTTTTACGAATATTGAGCTAAATTTAATGTTTCATACGAGTCAACCATCGAAAATAAAACCATATTAGAATTCATTAATGCTCAAGAAAAGCAGCTATTAGATAATCCTTTGAATTGAGAACCAAATAAAGGCTAAAGCTGTCGCTAAGCAATTACCTCTTCATCCAAAAGACACCCTTTATGTAAGATATAATCAGTTTCGTATGAATAATCAGCATAATAAAATCTAAAAAATAAATAAATCTCAAGAACAAAGTACAGTATAGCGGGTCCCCTGCCAGAACCACACGTGCAAGTTTCCCTGCCAGTGGCTCCTCCGGGCTTTCTGAGGCGCTGCCTGTGACTCAGCATGGAAGAAGGGGGCGGAACCACACACTTTCTTGTTCAGAGCATTGCATATAAATTTATAATATGAAGCTAGAATAACATTACCTTGAGCTGCACTGCCTTTAGAAAATGGTTGGTACTCTTTCTCTGTAAATCAAAAGAACATATTAGATACCAGAGCATAACTACACAAAACACTGAATGAACACAGAATAAAAAGTATCTAACACCAAAGATTTGTAAAAGGCCAAATTGAAATTATTGTTGCTGTTCTTATTAAGAATAATGGCAGTAAGAGACTTATCAAAAAAATAAAAAATAATGGTAGTCAGAGAGACAGCAATAACAATAGTAATAGTCCTAATAATGGTGGGGCAAATACATGAACAAGAAAGAAAGTAAAGGCAGAAACAAAAACAACTACTATTAAATAAATAAAAAAACTCATCATCAACAAACTACTAGTGCAAAAACCAATTTCAAGACTAACAACCTTTAGCCACCACAGAAAACATTCACATAAAACAAAAGAATATAAGAGAGTATATTATTAAAAATGGAAATCTGCAAACCATTTCATTTTTAACAATAAAATATTATATATATATATATATATATATATATACACACGGAGTATTAGAATTCATGAAAAACGAAATACCTGAAATTGGAATAGGAGTAGGCATAGCCGTCGTCGGAATATCCTTTGGCGGCGGCAATTCCTTCTCAGGACTCCCACCCACCTCCTCTTGACCCGACTGTTCAAAATCCGAAAACAACCCATCCTCGGCGGCGGCGCTTCGGCCACTATCGAACACGGCCTCGGCCTCAACGTCCTCTTCCTCCGGCGGCGCCGTGGACGACGGAGCCAGAGCCAAATCCAACGCCGTTGGAGTAATCGACGACGCTGGCCCACCGTCCAGTATGTCATACACCTCTCTGTCAAAAAAACCCGGCAACTTCCTCTCTCTCCTCATGTCGTTCCTCATGACCCAAAACGACTCCGTTTGTTCCCTTATCTGTGACTCCCACTCTTTGATCTTCTTATAGTCTCCGGCCAAATTGCTCCACCTCTTCCGGCACTGAACCGGACCCCGGTTCACCCCGTGCCGTTTACAGTAAGAAGAAACCGAAGCCCACTTAGGCTCCACCTGACCGGACCCAAACGCCAAACCGGCGGTCCGACCCCTCCGAACCCGGTTCTCCGCCACTTTCTTCCCTTGTATGAGAACGAGAATCTCTTGTCTCGTCCATCGGGGCAGCCTGGGCGCTCTGCTCCCATCATCGCCGCCGTCTAACAGTTGGCGTCCGTCACCGCCGTTAGGGACGGTCTCAACACCGCCGTCAACGGGTGCCGGAGTGAGAGACAATTGTTCTAGCGCCATACACTGTATTGAAGACTGGTCACGTGACTAACGGCGTTTTGCCAAGTAACGGCGTTTTCTGTGACGGTCCGTTTTAGAGAGGAAGAGAGTCATATCTCATAGAGGGAGAGAGGGGCAGAGATTTTTGTTGGGTTTGTGAATTTTAGATGGACAATTTACTAATAGCTGTATGTAACTATGTATTATTCCTATTAGACCCTTAACCTTTAGTCCTAAGCCCAAAGGTTTTATTTATTTTTTATTTTTTATTTTTTATTTTTTTTTATTTTTTATTTTTTTATTTATAGCTATTAAGGGTCTAATCTAATCTTTTTTAGTCCTTTACTAATCAGATTTCTTTCCATATCACTTTCAATATCTTGTTTTGATAATCCAGCTTCTAAATGTGTTAGGGCACCCTTCGATTTCATAATGGCTATATCTAGTCCTTTTCTAGAAGGTCACTATCCTTTTATGTGAAATTTGGTACCAAATGGGTTTGGTTGGTAAATTTTCCGTTTTTTTGCTTCTTTGGACTCTGTTTTGTTCCGTCCATAGACTTCTTAGGATTTAAAACGTGAGAGTGTACTCCATTCATTTCAATTTTTTATATTCAAAATTCAAAGTGTGATTTTAGTATTTTACCATATCTTCTTGCACTTATTTGTCAAAATCTCCACGTTAATTATGTTTTGTTGGATTCGGTCAAAAATATTTTGAACTTGTCAAGAGCTTCCTTATGAGAAAGAGGTATTGACTATTGAATGAGTGAGTGAGTGTTTTTATATGATATTCTTCATAATCAATATATGTGGTGGTCCAAATCCTAATTGGACTAGTGACACCCTACCCTACCAATAAGTTAATCTCCTCTTTTTGTCCACCACCATTAAAAAAAAAAATTCCCATTTAATCATTAGTCCTAACTTTCACTTAATTGTCAATGAATGGTCCTAACAAAAAGGCTCCTTTATGGTTGTTTGGACATTGAGTTGATGAGGAAGGGCAGAGTATCGTAGCAACACCAAGGGTTAAGATCACTTTCCCGGATGATCTTCACACCCACATTTATGTACTAGGACTGTTCAATCTAATCTTGAGTTGATGAGAAAGGGCAAATCATCGTTGCAACATGGAGGGCGGAGATCACTGCATAGGAAATGAGATTCCTAAAGCGTTCTTCACAGTTTTTCTATCTAATCATTGAGTTAATGAGAAAAACGATAAATGACAAATTACCCCTGCAACATGAAGGGCAGAAATCACTGCATAGAAAATGAGATTCGTAAACTATTCTTCACACTTTTTCTGTGTACTGAATCGGTCCAATTTAACAAAAAAATATCCAAATTCAATTACCGTGATAGTTAAAAAAAAAAAAAAAAAAAATCTCGCTGTCTATAGTCTAATCACTATTCTAAAAAAAAATTGATTTGCACTAAGTTTCAAGTCTTCAACCAAAGGACGAAATTATAAATAATCATAAAAGGGGAAACTTACAAAGATGGGTTTGGAAACGCAATTGTCATGAGGATTTGTCGCTAAGGGTAAAGGGGTGGGTTAGTAGAGGGTCACATTCTCCTTGTGATCCGGTGGGGACCGGGTGGATGCCGTATCATATAATATGGCCTCCCAACCAAACATATACACTACACGGATCCGAAAGTCTAATCTGCCTGTTGGGTTGTGATTTGTGACCACCCTTTATTTGTAGGGTCTCTCAATTGTACTCCATCCAAACATTGTTAACCCTCCCTTTAAACCCAATCATCCACTTGTTATCCACTTCTTTGGGCTATGTTTGGTATGGTGGAAAATAAAAAAAATGAGAGGCTTCTCTTGTTTGATTAATAAATAAATAAATGAAATAAAATGATAATAATTATATTTGAAAAAAGAAAAAAAAATAAAAATATTTTAATGAATTTACCACCATGCCATTTTCATAGATTTTTGTCTTTTATAAAAATAAAAACAATTTTGGCATTAAAATATTTAATAAAAAATTATAGTATTTCCCTTCCTTTCCTTCCGTTTCTTCTCATTTTTCAAAAGATAACCATAGACATCATTAACCTTTAAATGTATTCCTCTAAATCCTTCATTTTTCTCTATTTTATTTCCAAAATTTTATAACAAACACATTCCTTTCTTTTTTCTTCCAGTTCTTTTCAACCAAACCATATCCCTCAATTATATTTTATTTTTAGAAATTTGAATACTCAATCTTTCACTTCAAGAAATACATGTAAATAGCACTAATAAGTTACAATCATTGGTATTTTCTAAAACAGGTCCTCATGATCAAACATGAACTAGCACGTGCAGAGAGAGGCAGCTACTCCTTTGAAATTTTGCATTCATTCTCCTCCTTCAATAAAATACCAACCAAAACTTTGAAGTGTTCAAAAATTTCCTGCTAAAAAAATTAGCTTATCATATTCAACGTTCTATGAAATAAAATCTTGACTCGGTCATAAATTATGGCATTAGTCGAATGGTAAAATTACACGGTAATCAATAATATTTCTTGATTTTCCAAAAAATAACTTACAATTTCGAATCTACTACTTGTTTTATCTTCTTATTTAATATGATTGTGTGTTATGTTTGAGAATATCGAATCAATGTTTTATAATTAAATTTCTTCCAATTTTAAATCCAAATATCATTATTTCAGATGTAAGGCGATTAAATTTTCACTTTTGACAACAGAAAAAACATCACTTCAACTTTTGCCAAAAGATTACTGGGCTTTTTTAAAATAAAAGGAAAGAATGCCTTTCCATGATATATTATGCAATTACACTTAAATTCTTTTATTCATTTCTACTTTACCCAGACACAAGTATGCTTAGGGCCTGTTCGGAAGGCCAAAATGTTTTTGGTTTTGGTGTTTTGGTTTCGATTTTGGGCTCATATCTCGTTTGGTGTGGGCTGATATATTTTTGAACAGGTCTATATCATTTTCAAATTTGAGGCAAAACCCATATCACCAAAATGGTGATATTGGGTGTTTTCAACACTGCAGCGGCCATACCAAAAGGCGAAACCAAAAACAGCCGGTCCAAACCAATATCAAGTTATACTGTAGCGGCATATCACATATAAGACCTAATTTTAGAAACCCTGGCTCATTTTTGCGGAATATTTCTTTCTCTTCGTCTTTGCACTCCGGAGGTAACTGAGGGGCGATTCCTTTGAAATGAAGGTTGGGTATTGTCGATTTGCTTCAAGATTGACAAATCCATGATCGTACAAGGTTTTTCTTTGCAATCTCCGTTGTGTTTGCTTTCGTTCATCTCTGTTCTGTGACCGATTTGTATGTGAGGCGATTTTACCAAAACCCTAGTTCGTGCTTTGGAGTGCAAAGATCGAAGGTTTCCCTGTGTTTCTCGAACAGGCCGATCGTGTCTATTATCTCAGGTGTGTGAGTCGATTCTATCTTTTCCACCGAAATCCTAGTTCGTAGTTGTTAGATGGAGGATCTGACGGTTTTGTATCGTTTTTCTCTCTGATTTCTCAAGTTCAGGTGTGCGTCGATTGAAAGGCTAAAGCTTCTAAATTTGCAAGGTATGTATTTCCCTCCAAGTGCTATGTTTAGGCAAAATCAACAGTTGGTAATGAATTTTTTTCTAAATGAAGTTTGAGAGTTCGTGTAACACATTTAATTTCACACAACAAAATACATCACAGCTCATCTATATCTGTGTGGTCGTCCCTTCCACTCCATTAACACCTCTGACCCCTTCTCTGCCAATACGTTCTCTCTCCTTGATACAAATTATATTTCCGTATGTGTCTCTGTTTTGTATGCATATTTTCAGATTCTAGCTATCAACTCTTTTTTTTGTCCATATGAGCTAAATATATATAATTGCAGTTTCTAAGGTAGTGTGAGTGAGAAAGAGAGAGTGAGTGTTTGTGTGTGATATCTTGGATCTCTTCATAAATGTAAGGGGTAGGCATTTTAAGGCTCTTCTAGGGCTTCATCTGTAAAAGTGTGTTCTTTCTCGTGGTTTTGGTCCAATGGTACAATAGATGTCTATCTTCTGCTTGTTGGAGTAGTTTAGATGGAGAACGGGCAATTTTACTTGGATTTATGGATTAATTTTGTGGGTAGTGTCCCTTATTGAATTATTTGAATGAATTTTGTGAGCGGTGTCCCTTGTTGAATTAAGGGAAACATATCTGTACACAATTGAAATAGTCTTCTATTCTACTCCAAAATTACTGTACATTATAACAATGTATTAGGAGGAACATTTCTGAGTTGGATTGAAGTGTTTCATAAACAGTACCTTCTTGTGTTTCATAAACAGTACCTTCTTTACTTATCATTGATACCATTGAATTTGATCATTAAAATTAGTATGATATAAACAATTTACTAAACTGTTCAATTACTTTAATAATAATCAGATGGACATGAACAATAACAATGTTCAGCAATACCCATCAAGAGACATTCATTCTCTTGATGGTGAGAATGGTGAGGATGTTGTAGTTATTGAACAGGCCGATGCCGCTATTTTGTGTGATGCCCATCAAGAGAAATTCATGCTCTTGATGGAGGAAGATGTTGGAAAAGGAAATTGTACAGGCACGACTTTTAATCCAACTAGGTGGACACATATTGTGGACACATATATCTTGTTTACTACTTCTAATTATTTCATTCCTACCGTGTGTTATTTTATTTTTCTTTAATGTTGTTCATGTGTTTTGTTTTGCATGAGGTCATTTACACTCCAAATTTGTAGCTTAGCCTGAAAGAAGGTTAGATATATCTTGCTTGAATTAAATTTGTGGACGGTGTCCCTTATTAGTTGAATTTTGTGGGCGATGTCCCTTGTTGAAATAATTTTGTGGGCGGTGTCCCTAGTTAAATGAATTTTGTGGGCGGTATCCCTTGTTGAAATAATTTTGTGGGCGGTGTCCCTTGATGAAATAATTTTGTGGGCGGTGTCCCTTGTTAAATGAATTTTGTGAGCGATGTCCCTTATTGAATTAATTTTGTGGGCGGTGTCCCTTGTGTTTATTTTGTTTTGAAATTTTGGAAATGTCTTTTAAAGGGAAATCATGCCGGATTTTTTAAAAATAAAATAAAATAAATTGAATTTAACTTTGCTTTATATTTTGCTACTATAGGCAATGTCTTGTTTTACATTCAAATTCATTTTTTGCTACTACATTGAAGGACATGGCAGTAAGTTGTAGGCAGTGGCACCGATGGGATTGATAGGAAGCATTCTCCAATTGCTGCAACTCCAGGAAGCTAGTGATCTTTA